TTTAAGTCATTTACAATCGGTTCACTAACACTTCCCATCTATCTTGAATCATATTTATTTTTCCTAACAAATTAAGTTGGTGGGGCTGCTAAAGTATTTGATACAGTTATTGTCCTCACATGCAATCAAACACTTTCGAAGGATAGAGTCGAAAAACACCAAGCATGTCACAGGACATTTACAGACTCATGCAGGGAAACCATAGTAACAATAATGGTAAAATGAAGGAGTTCTGGAAACAAATTGAATGAGTAGAAAATGTTTTTGCTATCTTTAAGTTGTAGAAAGAACAGTTCAACTCAGAATTATGCCTGTACTTTGTCCAGTATAAGAGCAAAACCCCATAGTTTTATCATGGAACACTTGCTTAAATTATTCTGAAAGAAGTATTTGGATTACAAAGACACAGATAATGCAGATGGCATGTTGTTCTCATACAGTGTATGTGCGCTGAGCAGTCTTCTCAGAAAATTGTCTAGGTTTCAAATACACATAAGCCATGAATGGAAGGCACGACAGTCATTGGCTTTTCAAAAGACATTCTTTTAACTTTCATCATAGTAGTTTCTTACAAGCTTTGCTAGCTATGAATTCAGCTGCTGACGTGTGCATAAGTTTAACATCTCAGTAAAAGTGAAATTTGAAACCTAAAATAACTAAACCACAACACATTTCCACTGTACAACCAAGAACCATAGAAAAAAATAGAATAAAGCATCCACACGCCAGGAATCAACAACACGCAGACGAGCAAAATTCGGACATGCAGGCTTACATAAGTTTTAAAGTGGTAGAACAAGCACGAATCATTTGTTGAAAAACTAGGACAGCATCCTTCCGTGTAGATGCTTACAACTCATCGATGGCGAAGCAGACTTCCCAAGTCAATGTACCTACTTAATCCATACTTGTTCCAAGGACGCTTTAACTAGATGTTAGATCTTACCCACAGCTGCAAGGAAGAAGTTAAGGTAACCAGCTGTGCAAAATCATCGACACAACATCGCTGGTCGTCTAAAGGAGTTTTGTAACTCTACTCGTCATTTCCTCAGGTTACTCCACGATTGAAGGTTTTGGTACAAAATTGCAGAGAGTGGGGTTCTGACGAGAGGATGGTTTTTAGAAAGAGCGCGAACATGACAAACATGGCCAACATGTGAACTTACAACAACTGCCCGATCTCACGAGGAGTCTGGAGCCGAATGCAGACATCAGTTGCGAAAGTAACGCATTTCATAATTTCAAGCACTGACAAGAATGTTGGCTATTGGCAACTTTAGATGTCGCCGATGCAGGACGTTTTTATTTTATTTTTCCAAAAGACAGAAGTAAGCTCTTCAAAACCATGGGACACACACACCCACACACCCACAAGAAAAACTTTGTACTTGGAGACGATTTGTAAAATGTCGGTCATGCGATTGATAGCTTTTTTTCTGAGGAAGAATATATAAATTTCGATGAAAGTTGAATTTCCCTTGGAATCCTATTTTATGTTAGTTTCATAGTAAAGAGTCGTCATTCATGGGATATGATATGAGATCGATGATTTTCTATTGTTTTGATACTGCGGCCGTCACGCAAACCGACAGTAATGTAATTTATATAATTAATTTTTTCCATCTCTCTTCATCCGAGGGGATGTAGCTCAGTGGTAGAGCGCGCGCTTTGCATGCGCGAGGTCCGGGGTTCGAAACCCCGCATCTCCACTTTTCGTTCTTCTTTATTTCCAGGTGAGTTGAGTTTTAATTTTTTTTTCGTTGCTTATCTTCTTTTTTCATTTTTTTTCTTTTCTATTTTCAACCCAAATGAAATCGGTAGCCTGGATGAATTTAAGTTCGATTATGACCTTCGTCTACAGGGTTAGTAATACAAATGAAAAAATTACGCGCATCAGATTGGCTGAAAACGAGTGCCTTCTCGTGTATTAAGAGTGCAAATTGTAAAAAGCGCGCGCACGCTTTCAAAATTTCGTCTCTCTTGACTGTCTTTGATGTTTTTTCGTGTATTTTATTACCAAGTAAGAACATAATTTCTCTGCCAATTTGGTGCGGTAAGCACTTGTTTGACTCCTTAGTTGTTTAAAGACTAAAATTGCACTTGCCCTACAGGCTCGTGCAATTTTGTTGTCTTCGAAAAATCTACTCGTGCATATTAACACCAAATTGCACTCGAAATCATGTTATTGCCTTGACAAATCGTCTGGTACAGGAAAATTTCCTATTAGACCAAAAAGTTAACACACTTTGATAAGGATGCCTTGTCATCAATGACATTTCTTGGCGACACAAACTGATATGATAGATGAGTCTTATTTATGCTATGTACTTGAACTGAAAATAAAAAATGCATAACTTTTTTAAAAGGCTCAGCCGAGTACGTATAAAGTCTTCCAATTTCTGTCATGTTTCCCTCCCTCGCGCAAAGTCGGCTCTGTGTTAAGAGAAAATCACAGATATTTGATGAATTCGATAACCTTTCGATCACTTCGTTATGGCATTTTCATCGTGTTTTATCATAAAAATCAACCGCCCGCTTCAAGAGGGTAGCAGTTAAAATAATTACTTCTCAAAGACTTTTCATTTCGCATAAGATACATCGCTCACTCAGGCAACGTATCCGATTAATGTACGCAAAAGGATGTCCTAGGAAGCATGTCACACTTTATAACAGTCATTTCAATATTCAAGGCGGCCAGGCCTATCTCAAAGAGCACTTTGAATGAAAAATAGAGTATTTTCTTCACTTTAGTGTAGGAACATGAATTATTCTGCTTAAATTATCAAAGAAAAAATTTGATTTATCATTGTGGGTCGACTACTTAAATGTTCGAAATTGTATAACCACGGATGGATGTTAATTTTTTGCATTGTCTTTGAGAGGAGAACAATATTACACTGATTAATCATGCAGCTCTTTCTCCGAAAAAAAAACTGACCGTCAGGCTACGATGCTACAAACGTTAATAGAAGAAATTACCTCAGCAAATGAATTACAAATGCATCACCTCGTAAACCGCTGCTGTAATTCCTTTGAAAAAGCTGTCAACGGTGCGCAATTTGATGTTCAAAAAAACGATGTGCAATTTATACGTCGCCGCACCATGGGTATTCCCGTTTTTCATCACCAAAAATTGTAGTCTTGCAACATTTAGCAGTATCTGAATTGCAGAAAAGATGAATCCAAAACCAACTAACACCCATTACTTGAAGTTAATTGAATGCACAACTCCGTAATAGTCCGGGTTGTCAAGGGTACAGGTCTGGCGAAGAAAAATGTTTTGTTTAGTTTACTGGTGTGAATTGTTTTAAGAATAAGTAGGTGAATTTTTAATGTAAGTGTTTCAGTCATACTGCGTAAATTGCGAAGGGGTTCTTTAGTCTCCTGTGGCTAAGTGCTGTAGGCCATACAATTCATGAAAACTCCACCTCGGATAGTTATCGAGAATAACGGAGTCTATACTGCCTCAGTTAGAAATACGATCTTTCATGTTACGGGTAGAGCGCATTTCGATTGAGTGTCGTAAAACTGAAACCCGCAAAGTAATAACAACAGCCAGGTAAAAGACGGAAAAAAACCTTTAGAGCCAACAAGAACCTAAGGTGAAAACAAGCAAAATTCCCCAAGCGCGGGAAAACGCGGCTGACCATGTAGCGGTTGGTTTTTAGTTTTTAATCTGATTGGTTGACAAAGTAGCACACGTTTTCGGGACCAATCACGTAACGACTTAGACAAAACCGCCACCAACAGAGCATAAATTAGCATGTAATATGATCAAAATATCCAACATTCTAATCTGTTTTTGTAGAATTCCTTAACGCTCTATCGCCAATGCTACAATTTTATTGGCTATGTCGCTCTTGATAGAAAACTAGTAGACGGAGTAGACAGATGTTGTGAGGCGGTTAAGTAAATATAAAACATGAGCCTGTCTTGTTGGTAAGTTTTAAACGACAAGATAGATTTAAACCAAAATAACTGGATTCTTTGTACTCGATCTTTGCGCGTAATGATGAAATCAAGCGTCGCCCTCATTAGCTATCACGTGACAGAAATCTCTAGCTTATAATTTAATCTAATTAACCTAGTTATACAACCAGAATATGATTTAAATGATTAACTCGTGCTTTTTTAAAATGTGATTCTTGAGTTTGCTCGAAAGTCACAGTCTATATAAACATATCACTTTAGCACATATCATCCTAGTGAAACTGTTAGACATCACGTACGAATTAGCTGGTATATTTTGGTAATTAAATAAACACAAAAGAGGATGCATAAAAATTAAATTGTATTTATTGTAATTTGTGGACTGTTTACATACATAATGTACAGATTATAAATTTTTTGCGCACCAGCTTATATAAATAGTTTGTAGAGGATTGGTAACCATTCATAAGGTCGCCACAGTCGAAATATAAATAATATAAAAGCTAGCTGATAAAATACATTTATTTTTGCCATAAGTCTCAAAATACCTCATATTTTATGCAAACAATTATATTTAAAAAAACTTTCCAAGGAATGAAAGTCTGGTACTAAAAAGGAAAATTCTTGGACTTAACATAACTAATGATATATGGGATAATAAAAGCACTCGCAAGCTTATTAAAAAATATTTTTGACCACTTGTCGTTGGTCTTCGTCGCCACTTTTAATAACTGCTTACATAGAGTATTACCCTTAATAATATGATATTCATGAAGCATTTATATAGTTTAGGACGCAAAATGTATTGCTTTGAAATGAAATCCAGAGCTAAAAAATGGGATGCAAATAACCTTTTCAAAATGTTCGTGTAACTTCCTTAATCTTACGATTCGTCTTTACAACACGTACTGTCCGTAAATATGAACTACTCTGAACAATACATAGTATCGTGAGTTATTTGAAAAGACACTGAAAAAATGCGTTTTCTGATAAATTAGGAGAAGGTGAGGAGAATTTTCCTCCCTTCAAATAAATAGTACATAAATATATAAATACAAATGGTACTTAAAAATTCAAATTTATAATTCATACTTTAACATATTCCTTATCTTACAATTAAAACATTTACTCTCTTGGAAAGTATTCACCTTTTCTTCTTACTTGATAAATCTAGGTGTATTAAATAACCTTTTTCAAATCCGTTGTTATAAATACTTTTTTATAAGTAGACCTAGCCCTTAAATAAGTTACATTTTCACAGCGATACTTTTTTAAGGAATTGAACTGAGTGAAAAATACCTCACAAACCGTGCTGCCTTTTGGGAGAATGTCGTGTTGTGTGGTTGTTTCACTTTGCCACTTCGTTTAAAACCAAGATACCAGGTTGAGTTTTTGATCGATTGAAATGTTGTGTATCCGGAGAATGTGTCCTCTGTGAATAAGCACTGGGTAAAAATATTTCCGTGCACCTGCAGAAAACAAATGAACAGGAATAGCAAAAATTAGTCAGAAATCGAGAAAAATTTGTGGAAAGAATCCATGTAAGGGCTTTAAATAAGCCCTCACCAGATTTCCTCACTCGCTCTCTTGTCCGCTCTGTGATTGGTCAAATTCTCAACCGATCAAATACAAATCAAAAACCAACGGCTACTGGGTCACTCATTTTTTTCCAGCGCGTAAGCCACGCAATTTTCGTTTTTTTTTCAGATCCAGTTGATTCCCTGTAATGTTAACTCCTGAACTTAATAACTATCCATGAATTATTTTGTTTTGGAGTGACACTCAATCCAAACGCACTTTAGATATTCGTGTTACAAGGTGTGAAAAAAATAAGAAAATGAAAAGGAAAGAAAACTTACTTCTACTGTAAGGTCTCCGGCGTCGTTGACACAGAGATAGGAATTTTCTGTCACGGATCGTATTCTGACGTATACAGAACCGTTGTAACGTTTCGATTCCAACTCTAGCTTGGCTAAGACGGAAAAAAACAAAATCAAAATCCTGACTTAACCTTTAAAAAAGATACATGATCAACTTAGTTTATTAAACCAAATTATCCTATAATCCAGTAAATGTTGGTTGACCTGTGGCGAATCGACAAAAACGATTTTCACATCATATGATACAAAACAGTTGTTATATTTTGCGAGGCAGATTTGAGGTTCTTTCTGGGCGTATATGAATCACGGATGAGCTTTAATCTGTTTTAAAATAATCTACCATTACTAAAACTTCCTGAGCCGACGGAAGTAGGTACACAAAGAACAAAACGGCACAAATTAGCTCCGACGTGAGGAAAGCGCCCCAGCAACGCTAAGCTAAGAATGTCTCAAACATTCCCGAACCCTTGCTAACATCTTTCTGCGGCATCAAGATCTCCCCCTAAAAGGATGTAAATATTGTGTGTGTGTGTGAAAGGGTGTTCTAAAATTTCCCCTCCCACGTTTGTGCCCAAAAATTCTTTAGATTCCAAACATGTTGGACCGTTGTAAACAACAACACGAACGAGGCTTTCATCTGTCTTTTAAAGGTGCAGACATTTATTCAGCCATTAAGGTGCTGAAAACACCCACAAGTGCTCAGAGTTGATAACCTTTAATGCTGTTAATTCAATCAACAGCGCGATAAGGAAACTGGACAAAAAGAGAGACCGAAAATCGCGAAGGGGCAAAATTAAGTTATAAAATTTGATACCTTCTTTATTTTGACGATTATTCTTGTGTTTGTATATTGATAATCTTGTTTATAAACAGTATTTGTAAAAACTGATTTGAGCAGGTTGAGGTATTTTCGAATGTGCTACCCAAATAATCCAAAAGTGAAAACAAAAATTATTCTCTGAACGAAAAAAATTGTCCCGCACAAGGATATAACTCTTCTAAGTGAGAGAGCTGTCATATTCCACAATAACGACTTATATGGATAAATCAATTTTCTTTGGTTTAGTTTTCGGCCAAACTTGCCGCCGTTAATTCATTCTTTTCATTTGCACATTTGTCGGCAAAATTCATTCACACAGGACAGATGTACGCGCCGCTTTTGGCGGGAAAAAAAAAACCTATTGATCTTTGCGGCAGGTCAGAAAAACCGCCACTTGAGCTCTTGTTGCTCTGTCTCTTTAATACGGATTTAATGGCAATATTAGAAAGCTTAACTGTCTCCCTGAGGTCCACTTGATTTCGCAACGCTCAGGTGCTTGCCAAATGCAGCGGTTCCAGACGAATTTTAACGCATAATCTTTTATGGCTGAATGCGTTTTTGTATCAATTTTTGCTCAGCAGCCGCAACAAGTGCTAGATTTGTAAGCCATTCAAAGAGCAACTTTTATCGGCCTCTTGCTTTGAAGTTACGCCGAGTACAACGGTATTTTGTCATACGAAAGAATATTGAAACTTTTGAAAACAAAACAAAGCAATCTTTACAACAATAAATCTCAATGATAATCCGATTGCAAAGTTTAATTGGACCGACTAACCGTGGTGGTTAAATAAAGTTCGTGTTGTGGGCCTTAAAGTACACTTATCAAAACCGCTTGGGTGGTCTAATCTCACTCAGAGAGGGTAGTTTATGATATAAAATGCCTGATATGATATTTTTAGATTCAACTCAAACATGAAAGCGATTTATTTACAGTTTGTGATCCAATATACAAGCTTACCACTTTCGTCTGTTTTGACTCCATTACCGTCCACCGAAGTTCCTCTGACTCTTATCAAGCTCCTTGAATTCCTGGACATTATCCAGACAGAACGGGCTACTGATATACCTGACTCAGAATTCTGAAACAAAAAGCACGTAGATTAGCTCGATATGGAGCTAGCAATGTCTACTGTTACATAATAACTGTTTATTTTTCATTGTTGTTGATGAATTGCCCAGACAATACAAATCAAAACTGCAAAATTAGCCTCCGCGACGTTTGGATGGCTCCATGAACGCATCACGAATTGTTTTTTTCTGATGGGAAAGGAAGTATTTCTAATTCCTTCCATTTATAATATCTTAAGTCTATTTTGATGTTAGGGGCAAGTACAAGGATATTTTTCTACGAGTCTGAGAGGTAAAGATTAGCTTCGAGCAGAAGTTTATTTGCGTGACCACGTGTATTGGGTAAAACCCCTGTCAAGAGTCCAACTGACGTAATTTTTGAAAAACAAATTTAGCTCTTTGAAAACTCCCCTAAGCTACATAATTGTATTTTGTACTTACCGAGAGAGCTTTTAGCAGCGGAGACGCCAAACCTCTGTGAAGAAAAATGAGTAAGAAAACGAACAATTTAATACGTTTAAGATACAGTAATAGCGAATAATCAGGAAATCACAGAGATGAGTTATAAAACAAATAATAGACATCGTAAAAAAGATTTGTTCATCACAACAAACGGTAAAGCCACGTGGACCGTTAAATTGACAAAACTAAAACTTGGAATCTTTTTTCAAACTTCCAGTACTCACTTTGTGAAAATAAGCACGGCCAGGGTTGACCAGAATAGAACTGCTGTGTTGTGTTTCATGGTTCTTCGTTCTCTGAAGTGGATATTCGTTATGTTGTCGATGGAGTTTACACGGCCGACAAAATCGATGTCTGCTTTACAGTGACTTTTGATCTGTTCTACTACTTATGGTTGAATGATTCTGTTCATTAAAAACTCGCTATTATATAAACCTGAAAACCGCAGACATTTACTCCGGAATCACTCCACCCAAACTGACAAAAACGTTGTTTCCTACGACGAAGCGGAAAAAACCCCGTTGAAAATCGTTCTCACGTTGGCATAATGACCTGTCTTGTCAGCAAAGTGCGGGCTTGTCTCAATTTGTTTTAGCGTTGCTCGACGGAAATGTCTTCTCGCGAATCGTGAAAAGAAAGATAGATTGCGATGAACAATGAATGTTGACGTTGTCAGCAGTTAGCGAATCATGTACTACATTTTAAGCATAATTTGTTGCTTTACTGGTTGGTCTGTTTATTTTGACGACACATATTGTTCAGCTGTTTTCAATTCTGTACGTTTCCGCAATTTTTTCATGAATCAGCGGGGAGAGGACTAATGGTGATGTCATAAGTAAATTTATACCCTCAAATAAAAGCAAGAGATCGAGGAACTTTAAAACCCGTTGCGGACTAAGCGATGTTATGTGGGATGTCGGAAGTGATGAGAAATACGAGTAAATTCTATTCCTTTATCATAAGGTGATCCCCGACCTTCCGGTAACTGGCAAAATCATTTAGGCAGGATCAAAACATTCCCTAAATTTCAAGAAAGACAAATTTACTGAGAAGGAAACGACGTCAAAATGTGTCGTATATTGGTACATTGGTATATTTTGGTTAATTCGCGTCATTGGGGTGACGATCGTCTGAAAGGAACTCTCTAACAGGATGGTTCTTAGAACTGTGTCACGCAATTTATTAAGTGTCATCAAAGAAAAATCTAACATGGAAGGAAACGATTGTAAATGGTTTTTAAGCTACGAAAGTTCTCCGAAACCACAGTTATTCATAAAACATTCGAACAGAGCAGAAGTTACTTTTCTGATTAGTAATTTCATACAAATTTTGTGATATCAGTTGTCTCCGTGACTAACTGTAGAATATTCACTTCAGCTCTGCGTTGATGTCGTTTGATATTTTTAAGAATAAACTGGATTTCGTTGAGTGCTGGTAAAAAATACATTTTTTATTGCATCTTTAAACTGTAGAATTGGGCAATCTTGCTACTGACTGACAACGAGTTCTTGGGCCGCGACATTTCCACAAGTCGGGAAATTCCTGAATTTCACTTATTTGTATTTTCAGTTAACGGCGTGTTTAGCTACTTCTTCAAGATACAAATACTGTGGCGGAAACAAGCCAAGGATAAAAATATTAAAAACGTACTTTAATTGATATTCAGATGAATGAAATCCTTTGTGGAGGCGTGATAAGGAAACTATCTGTGTTTTACGTTAAAATAAGTCAGCGCGGGCGTTTGAAGGGACAAGTATGCTCTAAAGTTGATGTATTGGACCTGTCACGCAAACCACTAAATTGCATGGGCAACGGAGTGCAACGGTGAAGGTTACTGTCAAACGGTTCCCTGTTATGTTTGTGAAGCAATCAATTCAAGTGCATAGATAAGATTCAGGGTTAATAATGATTCAAATACAACGGAAGTTAAGCGACATTAAGGGCGAAAACGTGTGATTCTCCGTGAAGGGCAGAAGTGAAGTCGTAAATCCGGCCGATTTGTAAATACGACTTATGGAAGGCTCACACAGGGTCACTAAGTGAAGTTTGAATCACGTACGTGAAAAATGCCAAAGCCATTTCCTCACGTTAGGATGGAAAATTCGTCTCAAATTTCAGTTTGTTTTATTTTATCTTAATTTGTTTAAATCACTGATATAATTGTATTTATTGAATTTATGGCCCAAATATAAGTTATTCGGTCAGGCTCTTGTTTCCATTTTTAGTGGGAAAAAACCTTTCCGGTATTTTTATCTTGAGCTACATCTTACAGAGTTCCTTGTCTTTTTCAGCAGTGAATTGCTGAGAGCTGTATTTCAGTTCAACGCTTAATACTTCCGTTTTATGAAAGTTCAATTCTTTTCTTTAGAGCGCTTGAAGACAGACAAACTGTGCTATCACCACCTTACAACATCAGTGAATTACGCCTTTTATAGGAATAGTTTCATTCTGAACACCGAATAAGGACTTCATAACATCATAACTAAAGAAGGTGCAAGAACAAATTTTCGCCGAAATTGAACGTTTTCCAAATTCATGTGGCGTTGTGTAAGTGCAGCTGGGTTCCAGATTGCTGTCACATTTTTTCCTTCGCAAAGCGAGATCACATTTGCCTAAAAAAAAAACTGTGCATGCTACGCTTTAAAAGAAGAAAAGGTAATGTTCACAGGGAATGTAGCCGAACTTATACTAAAGTTGGAAACTTTTCTTCGTATGCAAATCTTTTCGTGGAGAATGATAGCTTGTACAATGAAAGCTCAATTGGCCAAGAACGAAGAGTGACTTGATAGGAAGGCGTTGTTGAACGTATCAGTGGTAAAGTGGGAGAGGAGAAAATGAAGAGATTGTCAAAAGAAGAAATATCACAACCCTCTGCTGCTAATTTGCAGTTGATATTTCTAGAATTGTAGAGAAAACCATTAAAATTAGACCCGTTTACAATGCTAAATTACCTCTGCCCCAACCTTCAGTAAGGCATTGTATACCTTTTTTCTCTTATCCTATTTTTTACGTTATTGGACTTGGGAAGATACGGTTTTCTTTTACCTGGGAACAACATCATAAAAAAGCATTATGTTTTTCCAATAGAGTTCAGTGTGACAATGAACGTGCATAACTTCCTCTCTTTATCAGTAAAGGAATGTATCACATTTAATAGTCATTTCAAAGTTCCTGTTATTGCACTTTAATGTTCTTTGTCCCATTTGTCAGCACTTAATTGTCGTCAATTGTGAATCAATGATATAAATTAAAGATGACAGAAGTAGATGAAAAGTTATGTCGAAACTAAAATGGATTTCGTCTGATTTGGCCTGAACAGTCAGGTTTCGAAACTCCTCTTTCTGAAATGAATTGATAGAGCTGTCCAAGTTCTCAGAGAAGTTTCCAACTCTTAAGCAACAACTGCAGAATTCTGCAGCAGAATAAAAATATGTCGATCTCTTTTCTACCCGCATAATTCCCCGGCTGACCAATAGTTTGATTTTTAAATTGCAGGCACGAGTGAGCCAATCTGAAATGGCTCTGGTATGGAGGCGTTAAGTCTTAAGGATGCTCGAATATTCCTCAATCGTCAGAACCTTCTGGAAAGACGTGATCAAAGTCTACAACTGTACTGGGACAACTGTACTGCATTTGCATCGAGTCTGAAATTCCATCAAAGCATTCTTCGTGTTTTTTGTTTTTCTTTTTTGACCCTTTGCCAGTTAAGATGCGGGAAAATGCACATTTTCATTGTTCTATTGATTATAGGAAGGAAGGCCCACTGTCTAGTTAGCGTACTTTGAAGTACTACTTTATGGGCAACAAGCCAATTATTACACACGTACTGTGACGATGATTGTGAGATAATTGTCGATAAATCAATCATGTTTGCACAACTGTGTAACTTATGTAAAGGAAGGATGTCACATTAGGAAAAATAAAGGTATAAATTGTCTCAGTCTAAGCAATTGTTTCCAGGGGCTATAACAACATTACATTACTAATTACAAACAGAAGGTTCATCCACAAAATTTTCATCCGATTTTCCTCGGTAGCGAACAGGATTCACGTAAACAACTGGTAAATAAAAATTTTTAATAAATACTGTGACGATAAGAAGTTTGTCCAAATTCCTTCATATTTTAGTTATTTGTTTGGGATGAAATCTAGAGGAGAAACATTAAAAAAATATAATTTATTTCTTTGCGTGGAAAATTCAATCCATGCATTAATCAGTCTATGTTTTCGTATCACGACTGTATGAGGTCTCAAATAGTTCAGTATGGGGCTTCAAATATGTATATCTAGGCTCTTTTCGTGATTTTCTCGCTGCTTTTGTAAACCATGTTTGATATAACACAAACAGGAAATGACGGCGCCAGTACATACAGACAATCGTCGTTTAGAGAGGAAATATCTAGTCTGTTCACCTTTGTTCACTCAGCAGGTCTCGAATAATTCTGCCTGCAGAATTTACAGAAAACTAAATACATTTTCGGATGGCAGAACAGCAAGAAAGCATCACCGTCAGCGGGTGACCGGAACACTTTAAGCAAAGATAAAACACCAGTAGATTAGTCGTCAATCAAAACATAAGTTATTAATGTTAGAAATGGCACATGATTAGATGTATTTTATCAAAGTCCGTATATCCATAGGTTTGTAACTGATGCTCGGTCAAGATTTCTGACTTGTTTTTCTGAAGACCGAGAGACTCAATACTGTAAGAGTCGTTGACCTAGAGTCAATAATTCAAACCTTACTGAGTGGAATCCGTCATAATACTGAGTTATGAAACGTCGGTAGGAAGTATTTACACTGAGTTCACCAGAGGCAGAACAAACATCTATTGCAATGAACTACAACAACAATGCAGTTTTAATGAACGCTCTTTGATTGGAAAATATCTTTTGCGCTCTACAAGCTCCGATACATCATGAACAACTAGAGCGCAGTGGGTGATATCGAAACGCCTCTACAAGGTTTTCCCTTCCCTTTTTCCAGCTTCCTACAGTATCATGAATCGAAATATACTCAGTTGAAAAGTCAGGCCTCTTTGTTTCTTTTCTTATTCTGTTTTTGGCTCGTTTATTTCATTTATAATATGTGTTTCCTTTTAGTTCTATTTTGTTGTCGAAATTCTGATCAAATCAAAGTTTATTGTGTATATCCACCGTGGGCATCTCATGATTTTGGCCTATCTTGTACAGTTCCTGCTCCCTTGGAATTATGCTCAGAGGAATGTTGACTCCAATCGCTTGCTGACTCATCAGTTAATCGTAACTCGGCGACATTTTTGAGAAGTGTTGACGACGCGAAAACATGCCATTATCGTAAATGAACTTACTAATTAAAGACCAATAATTAACGTTTTATTTTCCCAATTTACGAACTTGGACAAAAATTTAATTGCATTTACATGAGAGTCCTCGTATTAGTACGTGCTCAGAAATTTGATGACAAAAAAGTGATGACAAAAGATACTTTAAAAGGAAGTCACCGTATCTAGGAAGGAACAACAATCACTTTGAGTGAATTAAGCCTCATCCCGTCTTGGAAACTTAAACACCACCACTATACATCCCTCAGTTCAATCCTCTTAATCTGACCACACCAGTTCATGCTGAGGAAGTTGTGGGAACAGGGATGGTCGGGCCGTAAGGTTTTTCTCCTCCTTAAATCGTAGGCCGGGTTCAATTCCCGGACTTCGCCTCACATATGCGTTGAGTTTGTTGCTGTTTGTTGTCCTCCGTCGCTCTGTGGTATTTTTTCGCCTGGGTTTTGGAGTTAACCTTTATACCTACAAAAACCAATACCTCCAGTTTTAATGCTACGTCATGGAGGAAATGCTGCAAAATACACAGATTTGTTATCGTCAAACTAAAAAAATTTCACACCGTCATTAAAAAAAAACTGTGTTAGTGTCTTGAGATTAACTGCTTCGTTTTTCTACCTGGCTGTCCTTTTCTCTACTTGGCGGACTTTTTCTATTCGCAATCCATTAGTTTTCCATTCATTATTCATTGTCTGGTTTTTTTATAGTTCGGCGCTTCTCAGCCGTTATCATTTGACCTCAAACAATTTGGTTGATTATATTTTCGCTTATCGATCCGATTTAAACAAAAATATTCTTGTAATAGTGTAGTCTTGAAACTTATTTTTATCAGGGAGAGAGAAAGTGCGATCGCGTTTGCATGGCTCTCTACGTTCATTTATTCTGCGAAGTTTTTACATCTTTAAAAAGAATCTGAGCGGTACATTTGACATATCAACATTTATAAGTACCTTCACTCACTTGTCTTTCAGTTAAGTACTGTGCAGATGTAGTAATTTTTAATTACCTAGCCGACATAAGACCACAGACATATCTTACTCATGAAATTCTATAATTAGCTGGACTTAATTCTCCTCTACAAGGAGACAAATTTGAATGATAGATGAATTTTTCCGCAAGACGCTTTGTGTTAACCGCCAGTCTTCGTATTGGTCTACTTACGTGGCCAAAACTATGTCTGACTCGGTTACTTTTGGCCGGAATGACGTCCCAGTTCCGAGAAGAGATGATTTAAAGATAATAGTATTTTCGAGAAATGTCCTAATATAATCAGAAGTATGTATCATAATGCTACACCTAGCTAGCGGATTAGATGGTCTTCCGCACAGATACAAAATTAAAAAAGAAACTATGTTTCGTGCAGAGCTAATTATGAACGCCGGAACCGCCTCCACCCGTACCGGGCCGCAAAATAAGAGCTTTGTAAACTATACCAATTAACACCACTTAAAAAAGAGTACACCCTCTTGAGATGCACTATAAGGAAAAGACAGGTGATTGATGGCAACCGTTTTTCGTAATTTGCGGGTGTTGAAATCAACCCAGGGGTTGGAAATATTTCTGGTAAAAGCTACGATCCTGGCAATATAGACACGAAATGTGGAACTAGCTAATAACCTTTTCTGTAGGCGTAAAATGGTTGAATTATCCGATTATCAATATTCGGAAGCATCTACCGGCTTGACACGAAGTGTTACGTAAGTTTTCCTCTGCTACAATTTGTCTATTTTTGCTCAGATCATGGATTTCATACCAGTCTGTATGTACTTGAGTGATTACTTTATAAAAATTGACAAATAAACGCTGGTAAATAAACTCTTTGCTTCTGGTGGAAGCAAAGTAACTAAACCTTGAACAAAACCACGAATCATCCGGTATAACCTTTAAAGCTTAACATCTCAAAAAATTGTGGTTAATACATTGGTTGGCATATCACGACGTGACATGCTGTAATACTGCACCCCATAACTTCCCGTCGAGTTGTTCACCAGCTAATGGAAATTTTAACCACGGCGCTGGACAGCAGCAATATCCATGGTCTGTTACGAACACAAGAACGTCACGAGCTCACGATATTGTTTCAAAATCGAATGCAACGTAAAATCTCGTGATCCAAATTACCACAAAGTCAGGTTTGCCAAAGAAAGAGGGAATCATGCATGAGTAGTAGTATGACAGACAAGTTTAATTTTCGTCTTCAGTTTATAGACATGTTTTTGGCACTTTCTGTGTGAAAAACAAACTAGCTATACAACATTAAAAGATTAACGACAAAGAATCAACAAATGAAAAATAAATGGTGCTCATTATGCTTTCCTCTTTTAAATTAAAAGGCAAACATCCGATGTCCATCGAACAATAAAAAGGCGATCCAGACAGTCTGTCGATAAACAAGTCTATTTCGTTTTGAATCAAATCATCTTGAGAATTAACGAAGTGTCATGCAAACTACATTCCCATGACTTATAAAACGCTGCCGATTTTTTTTTTTTAGAGAGATACCTAGATATTTCCTATCGTTCAACAATATTACTTTGTCAAGCGTTCTTCGGGAAAGTAAAAAGACACAGCAATGTGATACAATGCCGTTCGCCTGCAGCGGCTATTAAGGGAACCCAACTTGGCTTTGATATTTGGCCATATTCAGGGAAATTGTTTAGCAACCTTGCATTAACCGTTACCCAGATCAGAACTCGTTTTTCTTACCTCCTTTCTTTAATTTTTTTAAGGAGAGAGCAGAATATAGCTTAAAAATAACAAGTTAGGTGTGTGGTTCCCTCTCTTACTTACGTCATGGAATTACTCTAAAAAAAACAATAGAAAATTTATTTTCCCTTTTCGAATAATGACTCTATGATAGAGAAATCTTTTTCACTTTCACCAGCCAAAGGGAATTTCAGATTACACCTCTGCTAGAAACTGAAAATTATGTTAAACCTTACCTAAAAAGATAATGAGCATTATCTCCGAAAGAATTCGAATAAGGTGCGCCACCCGCATAAAAAATATTTTTATTAAATAAAAAAAACACGGTCAGGAAAAACATTCCAATCATTTGTCTAAGTTTCTTGGTAGTTGTTTTAGTATCCTATTCCGAAATCTTGTAGTCAAGTACTTAGGCTGGATCAGAGGGGAAGTTTATGAGCTTATTTCCCAAATTAGGCAAAAATCGCATCCCGTTTGCGCAAGGATCAGGGAATGAGGAAATCTGACAGCAAAGGAAACGCAACATATTTGAGTTTCTTTTTATCTTCTTTTGCTGAAAAGGTTACTTTGATTAAGTACTTTATATTCTTTCTATTTACTAATTTCACTTCCTTTCGAGAGGAACGTTCTGTTTTGGTCATGAGTGATAGTTTGCAAGGCAGTTTTATTCTTTGCGTGAACAAACAAACCGAACAAAACTCGAACACGCCGAAAAAGATACATCACTGATTTTCCAAGCCCTTAGAATCTTGAAAAGAAAAAACCGCATTAGAGGGAAACATTCAAGAGGGGAAACCATAATATTTGTTTTGTTTTGTTTAAGCGACTTATTCTAAAATTCCATAACGCCCCCGCCCCCGCACCCTCCCTCCCAGGTAGTAATAACTTCTTGAAAGTTCCAGACCAACACAACTCACGGCCAATATGGCCGCCCGTTTGTTATTGAGGATGTGTACCTCCTCATTACTTCCAGGTTAGGGATTGTAGGAAGCGAAGAAATTTTTACCCTGAGTTTGGTTATGTATTCACCTTTGTGCAACTCGTTTTGTAACCGACTGGCTTCTTTGAGTTCGACGTGATATAATTTTTGTACAAGGGATTAACAAATTTTATGTTCCCTTGTGTTGTTGTAGCTCGTGGGTGTAAGTATAGATGTAATGGACTTAAGTCCTCCGCCATACGCCCTGGGAATGCCAGTTTGCAAGAACATCTTATTAACAGAATCAAGGTATTAATGGTTTGTTTGGTAATGACACCCTTGGATGCGAATGTGCGTTAGTCATATGCAGAATGGAAATTCGCGGTATTGATCGATACTGGAACATTCCATTGAAAATATGCCTATCATTAGGATGGGGCGGGGCGGGGAAAGGAGTACGCAAGAAAATGATGGAATGGCCCACATCATCATTCTAAACTTGTGTTAGACTTTAAACTATTACGTGTGTGTAAATGTATTTATTTTCAACATAATAGGGACTCTCCTGTTTGATTGTAAGCTTCTATTGATTTGAAAAGAGTAAAAGAGCATTTATATCCATTCTTTATTTTGTACGTTGTTTTTGTGGCAAAGTCCAAAAGACACATGTTAAAGTGGATATTGGCTAAATCCTGGTAAACACAAACTCAGACAGACAGTTCAATCCAGAATCCACCAAACAAACCATTCAGCTCTATTTGCTCAAAGAATAAAAAGAAAACTGTCCACAGGATGATTTGGGGAGAGAGGAAGGGTTTATGACTCAGGCTGGTCTGTGCTTCCAAGCAGTGTATGATTTTTTGTCTCAAGCCTTACACAGGGCATGCAATGTTAGGATTTGACATGTTGAAGAGGGGTATCTCTAAGTCTTGCTGTGTGGTAATACTGACAGTACACAGCCTTCATGTGTAGTACAACATGAAGGCTGCTACAAGAAGTTTTACTCTACTTGGATATGAAAGTTTTGAACCCTTCTTCCCTTTGCTAGGGATGATTCTCTAACTAGCCTGTTAGTGTTGAAAAAAGCCTGCACATTGCATTGGATACCAGTTTTTATCATCCAACTGTGCAAATTTGAGTACAAATATCCTGTGATATTTTACAGTTGGTTCTTTTGTACTGTTAAAAAAAAATGTTTAAGCAGTCACCTGCACATGCTACACTTCTCTATCCTGCCCTATGAGAAATAAGCAGAAGTACTTGGCAGAAAAAGAAAAGCAGCTGGATGATAAATAATTTATCAGACATGATGGTGTGTAGAATTGCCTGGTATTTCTACTTTTTGTTTGTATTTTGACTTGCCCTACAGGGTTATAAAAATACTGCACAACTTGTGAAAATTCTTAGCTTCTCATACTACACACCAAATTGTCTAATTAGATATATATAGAAAAGATATAGTTAATCAATCTTCAAACAACTAACACATAGTCAGTAGGTGGATATCCAATCTTGTGTGCTAACCATGACTATCACATACATCATTAGGCTACAGGACCACTGACAGTTGCTGCCTTCATGCAAGAAGTTTTAACTAATCCACTTTCGGTAAGTTGAGTCTTTTAGGTTTGCCTATGGTTATTTTGGAACAAAATATAATTGTTTGTTTTGATAATCTCTGACATTTTGTGGAATAATAGTAAATTTAAGGCCTCACTCGATGGCAGGACCTAGATATTTTGTGAATTCACACAGATGTATCTAACCAGTTAAATAGAAAATTTTTGGTGGATTAAGCTCCACGGTTTTCATCTTTGCCAACATTGACCAGGAGTGAGTACTTTGAAATGCAGTTTGCCATTATTTTTTGTATTTGGAGTGCTTGCCATAGATTAAAATCTTATCTTACCTGCATAAAAGTAATAATACTGTTAATATTTTTTAGGGTTATTATATGACCAGTGATGTATTTGGTCAAGCTGGAGATTTTATTACTTCACCAGAAATCAGCCAGGTCTTTGGAGAGGTACTTTTTATTGGCTGTAAAATACATTGGAATAAAATACAAATATATATTTTTTTATCTTTTACCATGATCTTTTAGTGAGGGTTAGTATGGTTGTTAGCAACAATGATGGCCATTTTAACAAAAAAAAATTTAATGTTTTGTTTTTCATTCTCTTCTTCTTGTAAATTAACTCATTCATTAATTATGAACTGTTTGTAACAAGCTTGTAGGTGTGTGGTTTGTAAACCAGTGGATATTGTCAGGAAAGAAAAAAGTAAATTTTGTTGAGCTGGGACCTGGCAGAGGCACTCTAGCTTCAGATATATTGAGGGTAAGTTTTGTTTAATATTTAGTTGTGTTGAACAAATCATGGTCCCATAGTGGAGGGTTTCTGGATAATTTTTGACTGAGAATTCAACAATAGAAGGACCAGTTAGAGCTCTGGATTCATATCCTACCTGATAGAAGTTGAAACACCATCAGGTACTGCATGTTACAGAAACCAGAGATGATTTACAAACAGTTAGAGGCCATTTTGTCATTTCTAATTTTGCTATTAATGCCTATGCTCTGGCTGTGCCCAAAAATTTACCATGTTTTTTTCTCTATCCCTAATCATGTTTTTGTTTACTTTTTGTTAAAATAAGGTATTTGGCAAGTTTCCAGAACTCCATAGCAAACTTAGTTTGCATCTGGTGGAAGTCAGTCCAGCCTTGAGTGAAATTCAAGAAAAGAATCTCACTGGTAATCACAAAAATGACCAAGAAAAACAGTGCGTTGTAACAGATGACAGATCTACAGACAGGGAGGTATGAGTTAGAAATTTATTCTCCTCCAACAATGAGGCAAAGCCTTGAGGAACATTAATGTCAGTATGAAACAGCTAAAGGGAAGTGATTACCACTGAGTGTGCTGTGACTCGAGTGAAGGTGCTCTGTTTTCTAAATAAGGAGAAAGGACCCAGTAGCCTACCTTTTAGTGCACTGCAATCCTAATCAAAACTTGTGGACTTAAGCTCTAGACAAGTCATCTTTTTTTTTTCCAATGGGAAAGACATACTACTCTCACAGAGTATAAAGGGGTACCAAAATCTTGTAAGGGAGACCAGACATGAGGAGTGGCTGGGTTACTTGTTATGGACAAGCATCTCATTCTGAGATATTAGTAATGTTTCCAATGGCTACTGCATGCTATTGAAAGCAGGATTTCCACAACTTTGTGAATAATTTGACTTCTGTTTAAGATGTAGCTTTAATAGTGTTCATTTAAAAAAAGATAGATTTTGTGTACTGGTATTTGTTCAAGTAGCTAACACCTGCTTCCATAGTCAATTATCAAGATTACAATTTTCTAATTTTTAGGGTGGATCAGAGTTGTGTTATAAAAAGTGTGTCACACAGAATGGTACCCCAGTGTCATGGTACAGAGCAATTCAAGACATCTCTTATACTGGAAACTGTTTTTTCATTGCTCATGAGTTCTTTGATGCCCTTCCAGTCCATCAGTTTCAGGTAACACCTCCTAACATTGCTATCAGCAAAGGGGCTTACAGTACAGAGGGTGCATAGGACACAGGAATAAGTGTTCCACCCAAGACTTGATGTCAATGATTATTTAAAGGCTAAATAAGGAGCTTAAGTTTTGTGGGTTCAAGACCTAGAGCATGGCTGAAGGAAGCTGAGGAAGTGCAAAGAATACAGTAGCCTCCAAAGCTGGAAAACTGAATCAAAGAAAGGTCTTAAATAACTTTAAATGTTAAAGTTATTGCTCTTTATCAGTTCCTTAATAATGTCAAGGCTTTCCATGAAATCATCAATTTGCAAACTCATTAATGAGACAGATAATGTCTTTTTTCCATAAGAAAACAGATCAGGGCTGGAGAGAAGTTCTTGTGGATGTTTCACCAGAAAAAGAGTATGTAGATTTTGAAGGGCTCAAATTTCTCCATTGGCACGTAATTTTGCTTGAGACCTGTGTGAAATTTCCTTCCTTAATGGAATTTATTTGGAATTGTAATAGGTCCTCACAGCTGAGGTTTGTCTTAGCACCTGCTCCTACCTTAGCCTCACAGACTTTAGTACCTCAAGGCACCTTTGGGAACCAAATTGAGGTGTGCCCCCAGGGTGGTGCCATTGTGGAACACATGAGTGAGGCCATAGCTGACCATGGTGGGTGTGCATTAATTGTGGATTATGGAGAGGAAGGTAGCAGAAGGCACACACTGAGGGTGAGTTGGTGAGGAGTAAGACGTGATGTTCAATACTAGAGCAGTGGTGAACCTCTCCTCTGGGACACCTCTATTTATGTACTGACATGCTCTTTGTTATAAAGGGATATTTCCATCATGGAGGTGTTTTTTACCAGTCCCAGCCATGTCTCCATAGGTCTTTCATCTTCCTGCAATATGATGTTCTTGGCATTTCAAAAAATGGGTGAAACCAGAGCCAATCAGATTTTTTTAATGGGTGAAACCAGGTTTTTTAATGGCTTATATGTTTAGGCTTGAACCAACCTGTCACGTGTCAAACCGTGGTTGGGCTCATTGCTTCTTATTTTTAATTTTTTTTTATACCTTTTTCTTTGTGGGGAGTGGGGGGGGGGGGGAATGGGGAATGGATATTTTCTAGTCCGTCACGTGTTGCCTTCCCACTTTTACTCTCTATAGTCCTTCAAGAAGCATGAATTGCATGATGTTTTAGAAGATCCTGGAAATGCAGATGTCACTGCTAATGTTGACTTCGCGTACCTTAGAAAGGCTACCCATGGGAAAGGTTGGTGGAAACTTCAAACTTTTGATTGCATATTAAAAGTCAAGAGAATATCAACCGTTGATATTCTCTTGAAAAAGTACGTTGTTGTATCTTAGTCTTTGCTACGGAGGAACTCTTTGATCATGCATATTGGAAGAAGATTCTTCCAGAACAGTCGTGGTGTTTAATTTGCTTCTTATTGTGATAAAATGATGACAAAACAGAGAAGCTAAAAAGTCACCAGGAGACATTGTACCAAACAGTGGTTTATTGATTTGGATTTGCAAAGATTTGCACCAAAGTAATAAACACAAAAAACTTTCAACACGATTTCAGAATCTGCAACGTATCAGTCTTAATCAAGAGCATCATCTGGAAAGAGAAAAGAAAATGTTAATTAGTTGTTCGAATAATGCGCGCATTTACTTTTTGAAGCGTTACGTAAAGTTGCGTTATGTTACTTTGTGTTACGTCATTTTACTCTGCTGCCAGCTGCAAATCTAGCACACGGAAAACTGCACAAAAACGATCAGTTTATCCCCCATGAAATCTCTAAGCATTAAGCTGTCTCCCAAATGTATTGCACTAATGCTTCAGTGCTTAAAGATATTTACAAAAAGTTCGATTTTCCTTCATACACAATGAAGATCATTCAATCTAATCACCTGCAAACAGGAATTGATTCAAAGCAGGCCTGGGGCCCATGAGATCTCGCTTTTGGCACTGTGCTAGTGCCAGGTCCATCACGGTGCTGTATGGAGGGATGTGGTTCAGAGGACCTGTGACAATGCAAAGATATAACAAAAAGTCAACAAAACTTAGGAAAGACTTCAAAAGAATGTCTGCGCATTGAACACGGCGCATTCTTCTTTAACGAGATTTTGGGTAAAATCAGGTGCTTTCGAACACTACCTTTACCATTTCACGCTTTGCAAGTAGTTGAACTCAGAATAATATTCACCCGACAACAGAGATAAATTCAGGCAAGGCCTGGGGCCAAACCAGTTTCGCCTATGGCGCTGTAGCCGGGTTCTGAGGACCTTCGACAGACGATTATGGACAATAAATTTCTACTTTATCTGTGTATTGCACTCGATACAGGAGGAAGGTTTGTTAAAGTTGGAGGATTATTGTTTCTCTCTGGTTTCATTTTTTTTTATGATGTACCTGGTAACCTTTTCACTTCCCCCTCGAACCCGGACTCTCAAGATGTTAGGAGCGGCTCAGATTTTTCTTCATTTCTCACCTGCTAGCGTAAATGGAGACAGTGGTGACCTGGGTCCAATAAAATCCCGTCTTTGTCGCTTTACAAGCAACAGGTTGATCAAACCGTGGACATGGGACACAGGCTTGTTACTCATGCTGAGGGGTTTGAACAGCGTGAAGCTGACATGGGCACGGTTTGATTCATCTTGAGGACAGATCTGGGGATGAGATACTGTTGCTGGCTTTGACTCAGGAATTTGTTTGGCTGGTTCGCTGCTGGGCTGACTGACAATTTCACAGCAGAACTGGCGACTGCTATCGATGTAAGATAGTTCAGGAGCGAGACAAACACTGCGTCCCATCTTCTCCGCTTTCGCCGACCAACCAGGAGAGTAACGAATCCTGTTTATAGAGAGAATTGTTAGTTTGCTTGTTGACTCCCCGAAGTCTGTTTCTCACATCTTGCGTCCAGTTGCTATACTTTCCTTTGTGAGTTAGTAAAGAAAATTTGGTACTGCGTCAAGATAATACTCTTAGTTGATAGGTTTTCCTTAATATCTCATCATTTTCTTGCTTGCTAGATAAGTAATTGATTTCGTAAGAACAGGTTACATTTAAGTTTCAGCTTTGTCTGGAGTGGTCTTTCCGTGCCACGCCATGTCTTTAGCACCAGCGTCATGTTTGGTTCTATTTTGACAGAAATAAGGATCAAGTAACTAGAGAGGCGTCGGACACAAAGTTCAGCCACAAAGACAAATTTTCTACAGGTTACAAAGACAAATTTTCTATAGGTTACAAAGACGAATTTGCCATAAACTTACTTGCACTGCTTATAAAATTCGAAGCAGTACTGGAGAAAAAGATAAAAGTACCACAGAAAAAATAACCAAACGCCGATGTTAAAAGCTCGAATAGAGATGGGAGGTGTGATACCTGCAAAAGAACAAACGCGATGGCGATTAATTTACTTCTGGCAACTTCAAGTTGATGACCAATCATCATTCGCTAAATGAATCGAAGCATTTAACTTCCGCTGAGTTGCAGTGAAACAGCTTCTTTGGCGAATAAATCGTTATCTCAGCTCTGAAGTCTCTTCAGAAATTCGTAGAGAATATTAAAGAATCAAGAAAGATTGTAAATGTTTCCATCGCACTCGTTTATGTTTCATGCATCCTCATTCCCAGACTTCTTTCTCATCCGGCGGCGGGAATAGGGTTACCGAAATAGCGCGCGCGCTCGAGCAACTGTTTCGGATTATGACGTTTTTGTTTTTTTCACAGCCACACAAACCTTTTGCTTTTGAGTGAAAATACTTTCTAATACCCATTTTCATGAAGAAGTTGCTGACATATGCACACTGAACAGAAATACTCAAAGCAAACTCTCGGGCCAAGTTTGTGTACAGAATATAAAATAAAGAAAATATTTCCGTTTCGAGAAAGAAAGCTAGGAAGATGGCTTCAAATGTATGCAGTACTCACCTTTTGCCTTGTAGGCTTGCACTGTTACCGCATGGTTATTCATTAGCAGACATATCGGGTAGGAAAACACAAGTACAAAGCAAACGACAGCTTTGTACAACATTGTGACAATTGTACCACGAAAACTCCTCGTTTAAAAGCTTTTTACCTCGCAGCCTTCAAAAACGCTGTTATCGCAAAAGTGATGTCTTCGTGTTTGAGGACTTTCCGCGCGCACTGGACGTAACAATAAGGCTGAATTCTTCACGCGCGCGCCGTGATTTGATTGGTTAGCACTCAATTTCCAACGAAAGAGTTGGGGACTGGGCGCTACAAGAATTCCAATGATATGGAAAATTGTGATGAAAATCTTGGCGCCTTTGGCGCGATTTTTTTTAATTTTAAGAAGTCGCGCAAATTCAGACCATTTTGAATTCGCACACATGTTGGTAGGAAGGAGACGAGTCTGGGTTTTGAATTAATGCACCAAGGAGTGATTCGTCGTCTTATTTGAAAACTCGTTTTTTTTTTTCGGGCAATACCTTCGTTCGTGTTTTATACTTAGAAGTAGTGAAGATCTGTTAAATTTATAAAACATATCCCATTGCCGCATCTGTCGCGCTGATTTCTTCATTCCAGTGTGCGTTACACGCAGCTAAATAGAGTCTTCTTGCGGCGACCGGAGCAATGCTGTTAGTATGAAGATGTATTGTATCCAAAAGTGCGCTGAAGTGTTTGAGATTAGGATTGGCGTTAAGGTTAGGCAAAGTTTTGTGGAAATTTGAACTCTGTAACTTCTAGGATTTTGTTTATAATAACTCAGAGAATTTAGTGTTCTCTTATTGAAAAGCTTTTCAAAGAATGTCGAAAGTAGTCCAGAATTGCTTTGGTTTTGCTTCACTTCGTTCTGTGATTGGTCCGGAAAACGGGCTCGCACCTCTTTCTCAACCAATCAGTTTACAAACCAATTGCGACTTGGCCACTCGCGTTTTCGCGCCCTTCCAGTTTTCACTATAAGTTGTTATTGGTTCCTGGTAATGTCTCCCTTTGTCCTGATTGGCTGTTTTGATTAGCCATGTTTCGCTTTTCATCACTCAATCGAAAACCGCTCCATCAAGACAACACTGCCTGGCAGATACTACTTCGCTGAGTATTGTATCGATGTCGTTAGGAGAGGTCTCGTTTCACTCATCTCAACAGGTTAGCAGGCCAGGAACGAACTTGCGTAGAAATTTTGTGAGAAAATTGCCAAATACAACAGGCCTGAGAAAGTAATATGCGTACTAAATATAAAATACTGTCATGTTATTGTCCGCCGAACATCTTTCACCAATGCGTTTGCTTTTTCTCATCTGACAGTTCAAACATTTGGGCCGGTCACGCAAAGTTCCTTTCTTCAACAAATGGGAATTGATATGAGAATGGAAGTAAGTAATAATGTAGGCTATCTCGCCCTGACTCCCCCCAATTTTCCATCAGGAGATATGAAGTACCTCCCCGCTAAAAAATGTTGAAATAAAGAAATCTGCAATAATTGAAGTTTTTATTTGAATTTCATGTGTACTTCCACCCTCTCAAGAGAGAAACAAACAAAAAAAAAGAAATTTTGCGGGAAATCCCAGCGCCGTAAAACTACTTTGCATTCACTTCGAAATATCTCTAACATGGTAACTAAAGCTCTGTACATTCTTAGAATCTTGGTTAAATCTATTAAGTTCTTCGTTTTTATTTTTGTCTTTCAGGTCCTTCTGCAAAATGCCAGCTCTTCACAGGCTGAGCAGCTTCAAAGCGGTTACAAACTGCTAACAAGCTCGTCAGAGATGGGAGAAAAATTCAAGTTCTTTAGCCTTGTTCAACATGGACTCCCAGAACCAGCTGCTTTCAGATGACATCAGCTGCTAGTCGTAAAGCAGGATTCAGCTCAGTGACAGCGACTTGCGCTCTGCTCTGCGATGTGACGCGTTGTAGTTGTCACAGGGCACGAGACTTTTATAGTCCCTCTAGAACCAATGACATCTTCCCGTGAAAATTGAATGCAGTGAAACACTATCTGATACGTGTATCACTCACGCTGGAATCACTTTGAATTAAAACTGATTGATTGATTGATTGATTGATTTGAGCGAGTAACCGGTCGATTGATTGACTGATAGCTTGATTTACCGTATGATTGGTGGAATAATTGATTAGTTGGTTGACTCAATTGGATTCAACACTCGTTGTGACTACAACATGACTGTAACAATTCTAATCTATACCTCTCCACCCTTCCCCAGTCCTCAACTCTCCATCATCTTGAAACCAAACTTGGTTCTGTCAACGCTTGTTTTTCTCTTCCCACCCCCCCCCCCCCCCTTTCTATTAAGACTCAGTGAGATTACGTTGAAATGCGAAGGTGCAGAGAAGGTATGAGAAAATGAACCTAGACATCAGCCTTGTTGTTGGTAAGCGATTCCCAAACATCAATTTCACGAAAGAAAATTTGATTAGCATGACCCTCTGTTGATACAATTCGTAAACAAGTGACCACTTTAGATTCATCAGGAGTAATCTCTGCTTTTCCCTCGTGAAATGCTCCAATAGTATTGAAATATCCACAAGAATCTTCCTCGTTTGTCAATTCACCATCCACCGATGATTCAAAACTGGCCTGCAGAATACCAGAATATAACAGACAGTCACTGGCTCTGTAAGAACCCGTGTCCACAAACACTTTTTGAACAGAGGTAGGCAAGTTAAACTTTATCAAGATGTAATCATCTCTTTCAGAACTCTCGGCCCAAAAATAGCCATCACCCTTATCATAAGCATCTTGTGGTTGCCCCTCGATAGAAGACATTGACGAAGTCACAATGGCAGGAGGGTTCAACCCTTTATACTTTTGATCATATGCGTCGAAAAAGGTCTCTAAATCACTTGCCACGTGGGGAGCTTTCTCAGCCAGTGTCGATGTAACACCAATATGTTCAAATAGCGACGCCAATAATTTGTTAAACGATTCTGCGTCTTCTACGGATTTTATTTTTGTCCAATGATTCATTAACCAGTCTATGGGCATCTCATCGTACAGAAGGTAGTAGAACATGGCGGCATTTTCCAAATCGCGAGATTGATAGAGTTTTGCAACACTACCTTGTTGTGCTACATCTAACATAACCCAATTTGGGTACGGTTGGTCATGGATAAAATTTTTCAGTTTAGGGAGAAAGCTTGGAGAAGATCTTACATCGTCTTCCAGATGGATGTAATATTGGCTGAAATCTTTGCAGTAACACATTACAAATGCATTATCGACATTCTCCTTAGAGCGCCACGTTCGTCTGTTCTCTGAGTCACCATATTTCTCTTTGATATTGATGAGTTCTGGGTAAAATTCGGGAAATGTTTCAATTACTGTCAGCAGTCCCTGTTCGATGTGTTCGCCGAACTTTCGAGAAAGCTTTTCTTTTACGGTGGATCTTGGTGCATTTTCCAAGTCGGCAAGAAAGATTACAATTTGTACGTTGTCCTTGTCACTCTGACTTGTGTTGTCAAGTAAGCTCTGGGTAGTTTGCAGCAAGTACATTTCACCCGCGGGCCTCGCCACCGATGCTATTCCAATGGCAAGAAAACCTTTAAAGCAAAAAGGAAGTGCAGTTGATCGTTTTATCTGATCGTCCAGTGGAGGATAGTCCTGAAAAGGATTTGTTCAATGTCATTGACTGTAATAGACGTTTCGGGAACGGTCAGTGGAAGTCCTTAGTCAATTGTCAGTCAAACAAGCGGTGTAAGTCGAGCTAAATTTCGAGTTCGTATAAACCAATCGGTCAGTTTTCCCGTGATGTACTTGGCTTTACGATTACAGCATAATTCTATCATAACAGCGATTACAGCATAATTCAGTTGTGATCAGTCATTTTCTATAGTCGGTAAAGTTACGTCGTTCTGCCGAAGTTCATGATCGAGATATTGATAGTTATAAAATTCAAACAACAAAATGTGTTTGGGCCGAGACCCGGACTACAATCCCTTTGGTTAAGATTCTAAAATTTGGCTTCCGGCCCTCAAAGTTACCGGCCCGGTCCTATTTTGGGATGAAACAACTTTTTTCTTTTCTATAAAAAAATGGTGTAAGATGTGCTATTCGCGAAAGATTTCAAACTTAATTCCGAGTTTTAAGCTTTGTCTGTATCATTTAGTGTCTCGTATTATTCTGAAGTAAAAACCATTTTACACTTACGTGTTTGTAAGGGATATCTCCCTAATTTGGTTACTTTGGGACTTTTAAGTACATCTCTGTCCGGACAAATGGAGGGACGCTTCTGTAAAGATTCTAGGAACAACAAAATCTTTTTTAGAGCCGTTTGTGCTGTGTTTGTTTGATTACAGATCGAATTGTATTCTACTCAGTCCTGTTAACACAGTCAATTCTAATGAAATTTGGACGAAGTCGCCCCAGACCACAACATTTAGGTCGGTCTTGTTAGCAACATCTCTCTCAATTTTCTGTAGTTTCATTTTCGAGAAGTAAATTGCTCTAAGAAATTGAATAGTGCATCTTCGGCTTTCGTTATCACACTTATTACACTTCATAAGTTCCACTGGACTTCAAAAATACGATATGGCGAATTGTTTCTTTAAAGAGAAAAAAAGGAAACCATAATTTCCAAAAACTATTCGCTATAAATATCGAGTATATCATCGAAATAAGTCCAAATTTTAAAAGGAATGCATTAGTAGAGCACCTTACTGATACTAAAATTCAAACACTGTCAGTTTGAGGCAAAAATTAGACTTGTTTGGATATTGAGATATTGATCCACTTCCGTTGTTTTTTCTGTTGCACCATGTTATGTAGTACTGCAATTCCAATACTTAATGACGAAAACTGTTTCAAACACGTTTAGTCACGAATAAGACAAAAATTCTTATTTAAAAAGCGCTTTCGTCGACACCAGCGAAAGATCAACACAATTTATTATTTTTGCTGAAGACTGAATTCTAAATTGTTTCGCTTGTTGATCAAACGTCACACTGACTTGCTAAAAGTAGAGTGTAGCAACACTTAGATTTCCTTATGAAAAGCCTTAAGTTAAGTTACCATGATTAGTTTTAATATGTGGAATTAAACATGAGTTTATGTGGTTCTGCACAGACCACAGACCACCTTCGCAGTCTCGCTGAGTAGGATAAAGGATGAATATCTCCCAAAACCATGAAAATGACCATATTATTGTTCGACATCGTTTACGAATTTGTCAATTAACAAGGCAATTGCATGAGCGATTGCCACCTCAGTCAGAATCTAAAAACACCCTATTCTTACTTGGTTCGTGGGAAGTTGTTTGAAATGGCTCAGTTGTAGGCTTTCTCTGACTGTTTAAAGGTTTGACGTCTCTTGAGGTAGTGGGATATTCGCGTCCATTCGTACACGGTGTTTTCCAAACGAATAGTGTTATCCCCACCACAGTAGCTATTAGCACCACTCTTCCAAGAAAATTCCAAGTACTAAAGCGGCATATCAGTCTCCAAAGTACCCTTCCTACAGCCATTATTTTGGCGTTTTGTTAAGAAAACTCTGATTGCCTCTCGCGGCTTAGTTTGGTGAAATTTAGGAGCAATATTGCTAGGAAATATTGAGTTAAAGTTTTCTTGAATTTTTTAACGTTCAGATTACAAGGTTACTGTGTTACAACTTAACCTAAAATACTCTCCAAGAGATAACTTCCAACGGGGTGTGAATTCTTTGAAACGAATTTGCCTCGATTAACTTTGGCGGTTCGAAAGAAGTAGTGAAAAGTAACACGTCGCCCTTATTGAACAATCGTAATTTCCAAAGTGTTTTTGATTAAAATCATTTGCAAAACGCTGCTTTGTTTTTTCGTTTATCTACTTGAAGGTATCCCAGGTTCCATCAGGTTTCCTTATTGCCTTTGCAGCAGATCCTCACTACCTCGGATTCAGTTATTTCCGTCACGGTACAACAGATTACATCAATCTTCTCGCATGACCCAAGGCCCTAAACACGTGATCGAGGTCAATAGTATTCCACGAAACATGTATCAACATGTTCCGCACAAACCTTTTGCGCTCAGCCTCGACAAAAGTTCCTAAGCGCTACGTATAAAAAACGCTCCATACAAAATGTTGTTCTGGAATAATAGACCGTTTTTTGATCCAAGGAAATTTGACCGAAAATGAGAATAATGAGCACGGACCTTCTTTTCAGTTGAAACGCAAAAATCCACCTATTGCGGATGTAATAGTAAGAAAGACTATTTTCCATTTCATGAAACTTGATAAAGCTTCCCCCCTCCTCCGTGCTCCCAGACGAGAGTAGCCCACGGTCATTCGGAACACAGTGCTGCGGTGTGGAAGGCAGATAGCATCAGGACCACGATAGTCAGGCATGCTGAACCCAGAACCACGAAGGTTGGAATCTCTTGCATCGCACTCCTGACACCATGCACTTGAACACCAAACTCTACGGTCAGATTACAAAAGCTGTAATGACAAAGTATATGGATGATAATAGTCAGTATTCAGCTAAGTCACAGGCAGCCTAATCTTATGAAGAATAGCACGGAACCCACGCTCAAGGAACAAGGAAAAGAGACAATTCCTGACGCCCCCGAGGGGGTGGGTCTGAGTATCCCGTATACTATTAATGTTTGGCCTAAATATCCCGTTAATTCCTGCAGTTTGTTTCCTTTTAATTCCCGTTATCTCTATTTTGAAAATCCCGTTTCCCGTTTTTTTTCCCTGAGTATCCCCGTATCCCTTCAATGTTTTACCCAAATATCCCGCATCCGATAACCCCTTATAAAGCCTCCTTCCTTAAAGTTCGACACACTGTCACAGCCGCCGTTTGGGAAAGAGGAACAAAGAGTGAACTCGAGTGGGAAGTTGAAATTGAGTATATCTTTCGCTTTCTTAGGGTTGACTCGAAAATCCAGACAACCAAAGTGAGCTTTAGTGGTTTAAACTAACCAGGGCTGTGGCTGAAAAATGACGCGGCCAAATTTTATTCAGCGGCAAAATCCGAAAGTTGCCTCTCAATAGAAAAACAATAAAAAAAAAAAATAATAAAAAAAATACTGCTCTTGAAATTCCACTATCTTAAAGAATATCAGTTGAGGTATATTCAATAATCAATTCCTTTACCTAAATTCAGGATCAAGAACTTTCAGGAGGAAGACAAAAGTGCCTACATCAGTCCACACAATGTGCGAGGCGGCCCCAGAACTGTTGAGGATCTCGTATCGTTCATAAAGATTATCCGCAGAAATGGAGCCATCTGCTGACTCTTGAAAACAAGTTTGGTAATTCTAGGGAATAAAATTGAAAGTAAATTAAAGTAAATAATATTACAATCTTTCGAAGGTTCGGAAATTGATCAGTCGCATATTGCGATAGTCTTGAACGAAAGGCATCATAAAAGATCATCATGAACTTGTTTGTCGATCATTGTTAGTTTTCTTAGTTGGTCAAGAGAAGGCAACATGGAACCAAATTAACACAGTAAATGCATCTTTTATGACTCGCTGTTCGTATCTTTTTACCTCCTTGGACCACGCTGATTCAATACTTCCTCCCTTCATAGAATTTATCATCTTTTCCCAGCTCTGCGCCTCTCTCATGCACCCAACCTTGTTAAAAAAAAAAAAAACAACAAAAACGCTTTCCTATTGAATATTGGGTTGGGTTCATATTTCCTTCGAAGTCTTAAAAATTTCCATGACTTTCCTTAACTTCTCCCGAACTCTTCAAGTGTGAATTTCAGTCAGTGGCTCATACTTAACACAGGAAGTTGCGTACAAAAAATTCAAAGTTGAAGTTCACATAGTCGAACAGTGAGTTGATATTGAGATGTTCAAACCGCCAGTGACAATTTTAACCTAATTTCATATGTTCTTTTGCATTTTTCCCTCGATCGAACTGCTAACACCGTAATTTCTCTTTCTTCTGCTGTAACATTCTTCGCCAGCTTCTTTGCAGTATAAGTTCAACGCATTCCACTTCAGCCTATCAATACCAGTTTAGCACGTATTTCTTTGCTTTCTTCCTTTAAATTCTTTGGGCGATGTTCAGCGGTATAGCCTTTTAATGCTGCACAAATAACTGACACTAAAAGTTTGCATTTCCAAAAGAGATATCAGTATCAAAAAATTATAATTTTTCTCCTATCCCCAGTAGTCCTCCAAAAACGGGGAGGAGGAGGAGGAGGAGGAAAATAATGTTTAAAATACGAAACAGCCGCTAACCTCCTTCATGGTTTTACTGTACTTGTAGCCAGCTCGACCATGTTGTTCCCACAATACATAGTTTACATCCACTTCTTTTACAAACGTTTCTCCATCGTATCTGACGGGGAAAAATATTTCAGAACTTGCGTAATCTTTAAGAAATTAGTTATAAAATAGTACGAAAAGTTTTCATATCAGAAGACATTGCTGTCGCATTTATTTTCACTTAGAAGTAAAAAAGATAATTAAATAAAAACTAAATACTTAGACACAATATACTCAACTGCATAAGATTCGTGAATGGCATTACTGATACTTGTATCTATCAAGAGTTTAGTTCAGTGGACTGAATTAACATTAAGACTTCAAATACATATCGTGATACATCTGCTGATGAGGCCTTTTCCCTACATTCAGTTGAAGCAGCCATTTAGCAGCAGAGAGCGACGTGAATACAAAGCAAACGTAAAGAAACGTGACTGAGAATCTCCCCTGATTCTTTCCTTTTTTTTTTCCTTTAGCACTTAAATTCCACTATTACCTAGCTGTCAGGGAAATGCATTGGCGGAAAAGGTGTTAATAAAACACGGCACTTACACGTCAATAATGGGTTTGAAAGGTTCACTGCTCTGCACTGATAACGGACAGCCCAGTTTCAGAAGGTCATACACAACGGTCTATAAAACAAACTTTTTTCAGTACATCCCACGACAAATAAAATCAAATACCTGATCAAAATGTAAAGCATGAGGTTTGAAGAATCGTTAACTACAAATAACGTCATAGGGCGAATTGAATTGAATCAAGAAAGAAAGGCACTTGGAAAAGCAGCCGTTTCTTGAAGCATATACGAGAGAGAAGCCGTATAAAAGAAAAGTAATTGAGCTTTTCCTCTTTGGAAAACTAAACGTGGAGTTTACATAACTTTACCTTATCTGAAACTTCATCATTTTCATGAGAAATTTTTCTCTGCTGACCACTGCCACAAAAAAGTAGAAAATGTTATTTTCTCACCTAATGTAACTCTTTACTTCCTAACATCAGTATGCATATTCTCCATACTACTCCTTAGACATTTCCTAATGTTCTTACAAGGAGAATTTGTGCAACAATCAAAAGCTTCTTCAGTTGGTGATCATTTCCTTTATTCTCATGACCTTAGTGTTTGATCCAGGGGTGATGTTGTTAGGAGAAATTAGATGTTAGTCACTCTTAGGGGTTGAAGGGTTAATGCACTCAAGGGTCAAAAAGTTAAGTAAGTTCTATTTTTTAATTGTAGTATTTAGACTATTCCAACTCATCCTTCAGCTTAATTTGCTTTGCTAGTCTAAGTGAATTAAATTTCCCAGCACTTCTCTCTAAGCAACTGGCCCAGATGAGGTTGAAATGTTTTCGAGTATTTTAAAAGTGAAAAATTGGATTATCTACTGGCCCAGGCAGTATTAATTATGATTTTCTCAATTTTGTCTTTCATCATAACACCATCCTTACCCAGTAACTATTTCTTACAGACATATCTTTGATCATTTTTACCTTGAAACAACATAAGAAAAGTTTTTGAAACTTCCACATCTGGTAGGTTTGCTGAAAAATTAAAAATGATCACCTAATACAAAAGTTGTGATTTACCTACAATAAGTGATAATTCCCCCAAACAACTACCTATTATACTTTCTTTTAAAAAATTTTGCACACATATCAAGAGCATGAAATCGCTTTGACTTAAATACATCGCATAAAATGTTTTCTATAGATTATATCTGTGCATCAACCATTACCAAACTTACCCCCTAGGAATTATACGCCGGTTAGAAGGGCAACCAATAGTCACATTTGTCTCCTATTAACATAATGAAACACATATCCTATGTTAGAATATATTTCAAAAAGTTCTCTCAGGTCTGGTTGTTTCTCTAGGGACTTGCACAACTTTTCTAGCTCTGCCCTTAGTGGAGTCAAATTGATTTGCAACATACTCTATCATACTGTAAAGGCAACATCCAATCTTATAGGAAGAGATGCTGATGCAAAAACTTCCATGTTAAAGAAGACAGCCACAAGAGAAAATAAATTCTAGCACAGTAAAATTGCCAAGCCAATCCCTTAAGAATGTTTTTGTCTGTTTCTGAACTGCAACTACTCAGATAAAACTAAGGCTACACTTGCACAAATACTTACTGCTTTTAAGGTGGCACAAGAGTGATCTTCGGAAAATGCCTCAACACCAAACAAAACATTGATGCCCTCTTCACTAAAAACACATTTCTACATTATTTGCAAGTTATAACTTTTAATATTGTCAAATTATGGCATCTAGACTACTTTAAAAGCTACAATCAGTGAATCAGTGACACACCAGGTTCATTTAGAGGAAAGAAATTAATTGTGCTGCTCCTAACAAAAGTTTAACCTATGATCTCCTAAAAAACATCTGTGAACACCAAGCTACTTCATACCCGGGATCACTCCTAAATTCATTACCTTGCGTGGTTGTGTCCCTCATTTCTTCTCTTTCTTTCTTTGAGGGAAACTGTCTAGAAGGAAATCACAGTGAAAAAATTGATAGTGGCTCAGAAAATTTAACCTAACTCATCCTAATCCTGAGTAATTTTCCATTTTCTATGAGAAATTCACAACACTTACTACATTTCTGGATATAACTCCTATGCCATGAGTATCTGAGAATGATTCCTGGCTTGCAAGACTGAAAGTCAAGTGTTCAGTATTTGAAAGGCTGCCCTGTGAAATAAAGGAATTGAAAAATTCATCTCTGAATTACTGCATTTTATTAGTATTTTGTACTGGATTTCCTCACAATCCGATGTTCTACTTGTATGTTGAGGTTTTATTCAAACTGGTGCTGCAATTACAACAAGAAAACGGCTATACATCACTATTGTAGTTTACTAAACAAGTAACAAAATTTGAGGAGGATAGTATTCCTGTTGTGTCCCAGCTGACACTCTGGATTCTCTCTCTTGTAACTCCAAATTGTTCGCTTGATGTATCAAAAATGAATATAGCATGTAAGAAATGGTGTTGTTTGAAAAGTTCCTCTTAGAATTGTACAAGGTTTATTATTTCCCTATGTGGTAAATATCCAGTTCAGTGTATTATTTCTTTACTCGATAAGTTTCTCTTGAAACTTGCGGATAACGACACAGCAACAGCTAATAACATAATGAAAACGTGCAATGAATCCTGTAGGCAAGACTCTTTGTGTTTTCTGTAAGTATTATGAAAAGGTTGTTAGCTCTCTTACGATAAGTCGATTATCTTCCCAAGGTTCAGGAATAAGCATAGCCCATGCCTGTGGCGAAAAGAAAAGAAAAGGAAGGAATGGTAAGAAGAAGAAACACAAATACAAAGTTGTAGCATGCCAACTTTCACGACCATTTTGAGGGATATATTTTGAAGCATAATTTTGATGCACTGGTCACATATGAATTAAAACAGCTACTGCGAAAATAGAGAGAAGGAAGAGGTGAAAAAACTGACCCGAGGTTTCCTACCTTAATTGTTTCTCCTTTGTCTAGGAAGTACGTTGGCTTGAAGTTATGGAGCAGAACCTCATGCTAAAATAATATAACCAGCCACTATCAGTGAAAACTACCTTGGACAGGCATGACTTTACCGTGAAATTTTAATAAAAGCTTTCCATACGAACTCAAGCCGATATTGATTCCTCGAGTGTGATTTACTAACCTTTGGACATTTCGCCATGGCTGGATTGAATGTTAATATTATGTGAGCAAAACTTAACAAAGAGAGAGTTTTCCCCGACGCTGCCATGTTTTTTCAGTGGTAAACGGAATTGAGGCAGGAGGAGAGATGCGGATCTTACTCTTCAGGGACCCCTCAGTCGGCGGGACATCATACCAGGGGTCCTGGATAGGTTGGCCGAAATTTCCCCCCAAACTAATAGTTGTCGCCATAACCTCTCTTCCTAGGCATGTGTCCATTTACCCTCATTATCTCATGCACTGGTAACTTGGATGACTTTAGCATGTCCCGAAGAAGTTCATGACAACACGTAGCGGCGGATAAGGGGATAATAGTAGGGGTAACTTTTTTCAGACATTATCACGCATTCAATACCATTTAATTAGTTCTGTTACCTAATCAAGGAAATCTATTGTTTGTTTCCATCTAACAAGACTCCCAAAAGACTTTTTAAATTACTACTCACTGTTAAATTATTTTACTGTTCTTAATTATTCTGCACTTCTAAACATTAGAAAGATCCTTTTTGGAAACTACTAACTAATTTATTTATTTTCTTTATATTAGAAAGTTACTGCTTCTGCATGCTTTTAGCCATTACATGCTTAAAAATCGTTAGCTGGAGTCTATATGTAGCATGGAATGACCACTGTAAAAAACAACACTTCGTTAAAACAGACACTCTGCTCTGTCTCTTATGGTATCAAATCACATTACTTCCAAAAAACACACCACTTGTATTATGGTCCTCTCACAAAATGACACTCTCAGTAATACAGAAAAGTCACTTTGAAAAAAGTGACAAGGAAAAAAATAGAAAAATTAAATTTATCCTTATTATTTCTGAAGAATTATCTCAAAAAAGAAAATTGTTCAAATAAATAACTTTCCACTAAATCACATGGATGGGATTATTCTAAGGGAGTACTATTTAAGTATGACATCTAAAGTACCTCACAGGAAACAACAAAAAGGAAATCTGATTTAACTTATTTCAGTGTAAATTATTATAACAACAGAAAATTCTTTTATTTTCTCCTTTTACAACATAATAAATTGTGTGGTAGCTATTTTCAAAATCATATTATTTTCACTGACCCTAACACTTCGAACAAATGTGCCATAATTTGATGAAAGCTAATTGTGCCCAAAAATCTTAAGCAATATGAAAACACTTACTTTTCAAATGTAATAATGAGATTGCATTTGCTGTTTCATCAAATTAATTTCATAAATCATGGTGCAAAGTGGCTATCATTCCAATCAAACTACTAACACTTACACACCACTGCCACTTACAGTTTATCTGCAAAATTTGGCTTTACTGCTCATGCATTTTCTGCTGATTACTTGTTTTTTGCCTTATCCCCTTTTCGGCTCAAATTCTCTGAGTTATTTTGCATGCTAAAAGAGTTCTTGTTATCTGTAAAAGATGTGATTGTTCTGCTCTTTAAGACATAAATCTTATTCATAAACTATATTAAAATTAATTTCATTTCCACATCAAAATTATTCCAGCAAGCATGCCTTTAACAAACCTTTTTGATATTAGGTGTGAACAATGCAGCTAAGAGCATTGTACTAATGAGCCATTTCTGAGATGCAAAAAGCCTCTGTTTCAGTGAAAAGTGCAAAGCTATTCATTGGAAAATGATTTTAATCCTTAAGCAACTGTAACCCATTAATACCTGAAAATTTTGCTCTTGGTCAAAATTAGAAAGTGAGGATTTTTAGAACTCAGAAATGGCCTATGTATATCACACCCCATAAAATGGTGCACATAACTAGTCTGCTGTCTCTTTGTTTACTCTTCTAGGGGGACAGGAATTCCCATTTCACCTAACACTTCTTCTATACACTTCAACAAATGCTGCATATCAGCAGGATACAGTTTTCCGATGTTGCCAATTCTGAAGCAGTCAGCAGTGCTTACTTTACCAGGGTAGATGACCTGGTCCTTACTGTTTAGCCGATTGTAAAAATCTTCAAAGTTGTAGTTTGGATGCTTAGGGTTGTAGTAGGAAGTTATAATGTACCCTTCATGGGTGTCATCTAGAAACTTCTTGAAACCCATTTTCCGCATGCCATCTTGAAGAAGGTTGCAGTTCTCCATGTATCTATGAGAATAAAAGAGAGTAATTTTCACAGACTTAAACATTACAAAAAAGGAACATATCTGTATAACAAACATCTTGCTTCTTCCCTTATACTGGTTATGATGATGCTATAATTCATTATGAAATATTTTGGCATAATCAGTTCACTTAGATAGTCTTTCAATCTCTAGGAATAAAGCCACTCACCTGTTCGCTCTTCCATCCACTCCACCTTCAGCCTTAAACTCGGACAAAGCTCGTCGGAAAGCAAGCATGGCATGAGTTGCTGGTGTGAACCTAAACTGGCCATTCTGGTTAAGTCCTTCATACTGATCAACAATGTCCAGAGATAAACTACGTGCCCATCCTTTGCATTTCTTCAAGGATTCAATATGGCCAATTACAAAGGAGAACCCAGGAACACCTTCTATACACTTGTTAGCTGAGCTTACCATGAAGTCAATGTTTGCTAGATCTAAATTGAGTGGAACTGCCCCAAAGCTGCTCATAGCATCAACAAAAAATGATGCATCTGGAGCATGTGCTTTCACAAGTTTTCCTACTTCAGCGACTGGATGTATAACACCTGTGGAGGTTTCACAGTGCACCATGGCAACATTGGTAATGGATTTATCACTTTTCAGGATTTCTTCAACTTTCTTTAAGTCTACTTTGGAATCCTCTGCTCCGTGAAGTACAACCTGAACAACAGATACACACCATATGAAAAACCTACAAATGTTTACCCTTCAATTCCTTACACTAAAACCTTGAGTCTTTACCAAAGCCAAGTGGCTCACCCAGCTGGAGCTTATCCCAGGTTTCCTTAGCATGAAGCCACTAGGAGTATCACTTCTCCCCCCAAGATGGGATGCTAGTCCATTGCAAGGTTACCCCCAGCACTTCATCAGGCCTTCACAGACCCAGGCATTCAGACGCGAAGCACAGCACACTAAACAATAGACCACTGCGTTTCTCGCAATTCTTTATACTGGTTAAATGCAAAACTCCCAGCTACAGTTGGAAAGTTGTGCTGGATGCTCAAAGAAATATCTATCCATTCATCTACCTATAACTGAATACTTGAAAGGTTTACAGCAAATGAAAGTGTTCATATTTTACCTATGGTATCTCTAATTTTTAAGTTGATCATCACAATTGGCTTACATGAAAACATGAACCCTTAGCCAAATCAAAAGCAATCACAAAATTTCCTGGAGCATGAAGTCTATACTAAACACCTAATTTCAAACATCTCTCCTGCCTGAAATAAAACATTCAGAATTGGATTGTTACATGTACATGTACCAGTACTATAAGGTTAACAATATTAAAAAGAGAAACCTTCTCAAAAGTTAATTTAACCATCAGAGATCAACATACTCAAAGGAACTAGTAAAAACAAACCGTTTCTATCCCCGCAACTTCACAAATCTTCATCATTCTCTTGCCATAGGAACCACATTCAATGATGAAAACTTTCCCTCCTTCTCTGGGGGTTGTGGTGGTGAGTACAGCCTCCACAGCATATGTTCCGCTACCCTGAAGTAATACAGTGGTGAACACTTCAGGAGAAACACCAGCAATTTCCAAGAGCCTCGAACGAATTGTTTTCACAACCCGTATAAACTCCGTGTCACGCGAACCAAGGTCCCGCAGCATGGCCCTCTTTGTTTCAAAGCTGACGCCGAGAGGGCCAGGGGTAAATAACTTCTTGTCCCTGTGAGTTTCAAAATCTGAATGAAAGACATTAAATCACAGTAAGAGATTAACTATTCCCTTTATGGAGAGCTAAAGATCAAACAATTGGGTTACTGTAAAAAAAACTTGTAGTCAAAGTAACCTATTCAAATGTGAAATTGTCGTCATCGTGAGTAAAACAGTAAATACAAAAAAAAAAAAAAAATCACATACACACTCTGTCTTAGAACTCCTACCTCTATGGCATTAAAAACCTATTCTTGAAAACAGGTGTAGTTAATGTGGTTTAATTAATTTGCAGTGGAACCGTAACTGGTGAGTAATTTGCCCGATTTTTTTTTTTAATCGAGCAATGTCATTTACTTGCGTGACGGCACAGGTCGACAGATATAAATCTTTGTGATGTGGCAAACTATTTGCATCGCGGTTAGTAATGCAAACAAATCTGTAAGGATTTTCCCAAACCTCGCATCCACTTCTGCAGAGAAAATTTCTTAAGACAAAAGAGGGCTTAAATAAAAGACAGCTTTGATTTATGTATGTACAAACTTCTTTCTACTCGGAAAAATACAGTTTACCTACTCATACCTGGCTCATCAAGACTCGACTTCGCAGAACACAATCGCCATGAACCACCAAGTACTTGAGGAGATCTTTTACAAGCACGAGCAGCATGCCACAAGGGCCTTGCAATTACACTACGAAACGCCATCGTTAAAAATTTGTTGGGAATGCAGTAGTTAAAAGACCTTACAATATCCTGGTACTTTCCACGCGCGGGCCTAATTTCTCAATGAAGTGTGGGCATAACGGTCATGCGCAAAACGAGCTTCCCGCACACACACGGAAGCGAGAAATGGCCACCCGCGCGAGAACCGAAGCGAAAACATACACGGATGGACATTTGGAACTTGCTTCAGTCGATGAGATAATGTAGCATGGATTTCCGATAAAGTTGAAGCAAAAAGGAACAGTCTTCGAGGATTTCAAGTGGAGGATATAATTGTGCGACATTGAATGATCTTGTTTATTTGTGGGTAAAACTACTTCCTGTCACATGGCATTATGAACAGTAGGCTTCCACACTGGCCGGAAATTCGCGGGATTAAGTAAATGTTAGACCCACGTACATATCATTTACCGGTAATCCCCTGTACATTAGTTGCAAAGCCGCTAGTTTTTATTCTCTCCTTGTTTTTGACCGTTTGCGAGATAGTGGACAGGTGCTAATTTCATCAGGATGAATACTGGTTGATAAGTGCGCTTATCCAAGTGATAAGAGCAATAGCAGAGCATTCTTCCAGGCTATACATGCAGTACAGCTGCAAACAGAAAACAGATTGTGGTACTCTCCAAAGAAACTGCACATATGATGTGTAAAATATTTCAGAAGTTTTTTTTCTTTGAAAAAACATGCCAATTTTTTAATGAATAAATCACATTTTAGAAGCAGATAAGGATGCATATTTACTTATTTTGTTTAATCTATTGGCATAACAGAAAGATAACATTTCCCCCCATAATCCCTAGATCAAAAATTACAAGATTTATTGTTTGCCTTTGGCAAAATATTTTCATGAATGTTATTATTTCCTTTTGATCCAAATATCTTGAGGCCAGTCAACAATCTTTTCTCCTTTCCAGCTTTTTTTGGTTTTAGTCATGCAACACAGTCTGGTGGAAAGATTGTGTTGCATTACAAAACCAAACAATGGCTTCTATGAAGATTTACCAATATGCATTGTCACTACTTCATTAATTTTCTGCCCTAAAGAATAGTTTAACAGGTTTTAAATTCCCATTGATATCATAATTACTTGGGAATTATGTCATGTTCCTTAAAAAATAATCATCGTTTAGCTTTAAATGGCAAATCGTATTCTATATTAAGGCTGAATACATACTGAGCTATTTACAGATATTATTTAGTACCAAGGTATAATAAAAATAGGACTCTCTATGCTAGTGATTTAGTTAAAGGGAACTTTACATAAGTTTAGACAGATGTTAATCAACTGGGCTATGTTAAGTAAACAGAGATTTCAATCTCAGGCAAGTTTGCCCCTGCTATGACCACCCACCCCTTTTAATCAGGGAGTACTACTCAGCCTGTTTGTACTTGATGGGAAGAACTTGTCATAGCAGGGAAAAATTTAAAGGTGGAGGACTTGAAATAAAGCAAAATCTCTGTACACAACCTCCTCTCTTATGCATTTATTATTTCATCAGTTTGAAGCTTCAACATCCCACCCCTGGACTTTGAACTTTTGAGGATAGGTTTGTTCAAATTCTCACCCCTTGGGACAAACATTGTGTTCAAATGCCTTGCCCAATTTTTTTTGGTGAAAATGGAAATCTCTATACACTGGCCACACTTTAAAACCTCGTAGACCTTTTCTTCTAAGCCATTGTTTACCTTTAACATACTCCATATTTGTATTCAGCTGAAAAGAGTTGACACTTCCAGCTCAAATTCCCCACCCTCACCAAGCAAGGTTCAAATTCCTCAACCCCAGGCACAGATGTCAGTCAAATGCCTGTAGGTTGCCCAAGGAGAGGATGTCGAAGTAAAAGAAAAATTAAGCGGCACAAAATAGTTCCTTGATTTCTTAGAGCTGTAAATGAAGCAGTTCCCCATGGCAGATTTTATACAATGAACAAGGTCCCCACAACAATTCTGCTACTGCAACAAAACTTTACATGGAAAAATTTGGGCTGAAATAAAAAAAAAGAAGAGCTGCACATGTTTAGTTAAAAGTAGTCACTGATGACCATTCTCTTAATTGCTCATTAAAGGTAAAAAAAACTTATATTATGTCAATCATGCTGTTTGATTACTATTATTATTATTATCATCATCATCATCATCATTTTAACCACTCCCCTCCCCTTCACAAGTGCATCCTTTATCAAAACTTGCATGTTCATAAAAACTCCTATTTTCCTGTCACTGACTGTAAATATATGAAAATCATGTGTGAACTCTGGTTTAACAAATGAATTTGGAAGCGACCTTTGCAGCAGTGATTAACTCTTAAGCAGTGGTGAAAATAAGGCCTGGAAAAAATTATGGCCTTTACAGGATCCCAAACAGGCCTGAATTATAGTCAGGCCTTATTTTCACTACTACCTAAGAAGTTTTTATTACAGCGAAGATCGCTTCCAAATCCAAGCAACCACTGTTGAATGGTTGGGATATATTCTGTATAGCCCAAGTTGCTCAAATAACTGGAGTTGAAATGATTTTTTCCAATACATACCATCTCCACCATGTTCTAGGGACCATATTTATGTATCATGCACTTTTCTTAAATTTGGCCGACAATTCGATTCTAGTCTTGAAAAAGAGAACTTGTTTGCACAACATATTTTTGGTGACTACCACACAAGTAACATTTAGCAAGGATATGTATGAAATTCAATATAGTTGGCATGACTAACATGCAGTTGGCTCTACTCCACACTTACATACTAACATTAAGCACAAGACAAATTTTCTTTCATAAAATAAAAAATGTGGGACACATTTTTTACACTCTTTGTATGAGCTTCTGAATTTCTTTTGATAATGATCCAATTCCTAAGATAGTTGATGATCTGAGAGAAACAATTATTTTGACAAAAAATAGACACATGAATACCTGGCCTGATGACAAGTTTACCTCAAAATTTCCTAGAATATGTTTTGTTTAATGAAGAATTTCCATACTTTAAGTGAAGGCAAACCTACATCTATAAGTTAAAACAATTTTGACTACAACCTGTGACGCATTACCTCTACTTCCTCCTTCTCCTTTGCTGTCACAAAAATCTAAATACCTCACTTTTCTTTTTTTCTACATAACATTCAATTAACCCTTTAACTCATATAAGTGACCGAGACAGAATCTCTCCTTACAGTATTAATACAATATCAACCAGATAAGTAATGAGAACAAAGAAAAATATCAACTTGGGATAATTAGTTGATCAAATACTAAATTCTCTGAACTAACATTATAAGAATTGTATGGTTGACAGTAAGGAGAATTAAAAATTTGATCTGGGAGTTTAAGGGTCAAGGTATTAAATGAAATCTATCTTCACAAAATTCAATAGTGGCAGAGAGGTTTTTACTGAAAAATGCTGCCCCATACAGTAAAAAAACAAAATATTGTAATTAAGCAGAGAGATTTCTCCTAGAGGTTACTCACAAAAACAGAGAAGAAAAAAATTACAAAGCACTGAAATTCCTGTCAGCACTCTGAGCTTAAAACTTCAACCTTTATAGTTTTAAGGCATGACATAAAATCATTTGAGACAAAGATTACTTGTAGGTAAACAAGGCTTTATGTTTCCCATAATTTGATTTTAAAATAATTTCTTTAAATGAATCCAGTATGGATGTCATATTTTTCAGTCATATTTTGCAAGTTATTCAGGCTTCAAGGGAAACATAAGAACTGATGAACACATAAAACTTAAATCTTCAAGATCATTCAAAACAGTCTTGGCAGCAACGCTCAATTGTACTTTATGTTGTTGCGATGAGAGAGGTATAGTGACTCTTCCATGTTGCCACACTTTATTTGTGTCGGATGGTTTTTGTGGCTTAGGGCTGTCCAGCTTTTGAGGTTCCACTGATGATGAGAAAATATCCAGACCCAACAGGTCTGTCTCATACAAGGCTCTGGAGTCTGAAACTAAGCACAGTGATAATCATTACTTACCATCTCTTACCATTTCTCTTATTCTATTCACAAACATGATGCTAATGACATTGCTGATCCTAGCAGTATGCAGGACGCATGTCATATGAACATTGTAATAGATCTCACTCACTGTAGAGTCTCTGTGGCTCAGTTGTAGAGCATCGCAGTGTGAAATCCAAAGGTCTGAGGTTCAATTCCTCATAGGGACTCAGAATTTTTCTTTGTCCCATGCTCATGACAAGATGAAAAACACCTTTCTCTATTTCTTTACTGAGCTCAAAACTTACTATCTCTCTTACTCTATTTACAAAGTGATAATCATGATATAATATAACTTGTATAGCCCTGTAAACCTGGTTTATAAAAACAATGTCAAAACATTCCCTTGTTAGGGGATGTATGCAATGGTGTGAGCAGGGCTGGAAAAAGCCCCACATATCAGTGTACATTTGTGCTAGAAAAAATATAAAAAAAATGGACAAGAAAGAGTGGTATAGGATTTATAGCAAATTAAAATGCACAGTGCATATAAGTAAGACACCATTTGCATACCTGTCTTTGCATCTGAGGTTTGAGTCCTACTGGAGGCAAAGATATCCAGGTCAAGGGAAGATGGTTCAGATGTAGTAGCTGATACACTATCTTTGAAATCTGTCAAAACATGTTAAATACCAAAAATACATTGACATTAAAATGCTTTGCACCATTACCTACTGTAAGTGTGATAACTACTATCTTGCAGAGGAAAAACTTCAAGAAGCATTGGGACCTGAGCTAACCTCTTCAGCATGTCCAATCTTTTATCTCACTCCAAGCTTCCTCCATCTTGCCCATACTTAAGTGTAGAGAGAGTGCTTTACTGGAACATTTGACCCTCCCATGCCCAATAATATACCTATTCCACATGCCACAAAATCTTTTCCAAATTTCAGTTATGGCCTAGACCTAACCCTAAACACATCTTCCTTCCTTGTATATGTAACAAGGTTACAATTGCTTCTCTTCTATTCCTTGAAAAAAAGAAAAAAAACATTCTACTGACCTGATTTTGAAGCAGTGCGTTTCAGCCCACCACCCAGCACAAACTGAAAACAAAACAATTTCCAAATCAAATCTTAGTCCACTATGTCAAAATGAAACTTGCAATTAACACAACAGAAAAAGTTACTCCCAGGCAAATACCATTTTGTATACAGTGTTAGGAAATATGTGTGGATGCAAAGTTTTTGAAGGGTGGCTTTTTATTTACTGATAACTTTGCAGACATTGCAAAATTTTCAACAGACAAACTACTTCAGGCAGTAATAAGGAAGAGTTTTAAATCTTCACTGACTTGAGTTTTGAGAAATACTTAAATGTGCACCCATATAAGTATCATGCATTTAAACACCCAATTTTCTTATGACACAGACAAAACTTACACTTAGATCTGGAAGACCCATTTCAGGGTGAACTGAATGATGGCCTGCAGTTATATCCTGTGCAGTGCTGTGGACTGCATGGTGTGATCCTTTCACAGGCTCTAAGAAATCCTGTGTGTGATAGATGGCAGTGAATAGAAAAAAAGCAAAATCACTAAATTAAAAATTAGCATTAATGGTAATTTAGCTATGAGCAGAGAACCAATTAAGTACAGCAAGGCTTTGTTAAGACCTAAAAGCCTGTCTGACTTCTGATGCAGCACTATCACAGAAGAAAAAGAAATAAGCTTCCTTAAGTCATACAGGATGAATACACTTTAGTAGAGCTGTATAACAAACCAACACAGGGATAATAGCAATGTGTGTTAATGTGTTGTGAGGTACTGGTGCATAAGCTTCATCCTTTCCATATTAGTCATAATCCTAAAAAAAATGTTATGGAGTCATCTTACCAATCCAATTGAAGAATTTGACAATTTACCAGGAGGTGCAGGCATCAACATTGATCCAGCCTACATGAATGAAACATCATAACAAATATATCAGTCAATTAGATAAACTAAAAACCCTTAAGGTGACAACATCATTTGAAACCAGTTTGGGTGATTGAAATCATGTGACAGATTATCAGATAATTGAGGTTGTAAAACAACCAAATGCCTGGGAACTTGATTTGAAGAGGCTTCACAAATAGTTCTAATATGACAGAGTGTTTTAATGTTTGCCCAAAGCAACTTCAAATGATTATTCTTGAATCTTACCGGTCCACCTCCAAAAGGTGGAAACTGTGATGACACAGTGGGTTTCAGCATGGATCCACCCTAGGATCACAAGAAAAATAAAACTTAGAAATTGCCTTTATCCATCTCAAAGTTGTCATTCCACTAACTAGTTGCCTCTGATTTTCATTCAAAGATATCCACTTCTCTATTTTTGAAATGAACAGATCTTGCAATCTTGCTTTCAAAACTTACAAGTAAAGATCTAAATTTCTAAGAGAAATGTAAAATGTAGTGCACAGTGGTAGATGCATAACTCTAACCTGAATTGGAGGAGGTCTGTCTGGTCGTATCCTCAAGGACAAAAATTTTTTGTGTTGGATGAATGAATTCAACCAGTGAAAGGGTATTCTGCCTTCTTTATCAGTACGCTCCAGTTGGTACCACAATCCCAATTCACTGAGGAGAAATGAAAAATTTATTAAAGTGACCCAAGGTATCAACAACTTGATCAAGGTGATAGTGAAAAATAGTTTGGTTGACTTTAAAGGAAAACCAGATGAGTTGTTGTAGTGTGCTAAGACAACATCTTTAATTTGTTAATAACATCTTCATTTCCAGATCTCATTATAAGTTGTCCTTTCTATCTGCCATACAATGCTTATGATATTTGTTAGCAGAATTTGGTATCAGATCAACCAATAATCCCTTCATTTATATTTTTCTCTATTCTCATCACCTGTCTGATTGATAATACACTGTTATTGTAAGGAGAAATTCTTTCTTGGTCAGTACTTTGCTCATAAAGAAGGGCAACAGTGGAAACATTTTGTTTAAAAGTTACTTTGGCGATCAATTTACTCTATCAACGTCACCATGGTGATCATGAAAGTGTCACTGCTACACTAGTGCATCCCTGCAACTATAACAAAAAAAAATGTGGTTACCAAAACTAAGCACCCACCTCTGAAAACCTTTCTTGACTTTCATAGAAAGAACATCACATTGACTTTGTGAAACATGCTTCACTTCTGTTGTAAAGCAAAGAGAAACAGGATCTCCCACTTGTTTTATGGCAACATTATTGCCAGGAGCAAAATACAGACTTTCTCCTAACTTTTCCTTAGGGACAACAGTCTCTCTAGGGGATTCCATAAGAGTCTTAGAGGAAGGGAATGAGGCAAAACTACTGTCATCTTCTTTACTTTCACCACTGAAATCACCAAAATCATCATCTTTGTTGGAGTCATTAGCATTTTTTGTCTTTTCAATATTTTGCTGCCGATCCGAAGTTCCGTCTTTAGACTTGGCAACATTGCTTAAGTTCTCGTCTTTCTTCTTTGGCAGGTCTGTCACTTTTGATTCAAAACTTCCAAAGCTGCCAAATTCACCATCACTTTCATTCTTTCCTTGTGAATCCTTCGCATTGGAATCAAATGTTCCAAAATCTCCAAAGCTGTTGTCATTGGAATTGTGTCTCTGATTAACTTTGGTATTTGACTCAAAATTGCTAAAGTCACCAAAGTCATCATTGTCCTCATGCTTTGGGGAGTTTTTGGAATTACTGCTTGCAAAATTACCAAAATCTCCAAATTCATCTGTGCAGTTGCTACTATCAGTTTTCGAATCTCCACCAATTGATTGAAATGTACCAAAATCATCAAAATCATCATCTTGATCTTCAGCGGTGGAATTTTTTCCTTCCAATCTAGGAGAGCCAAACTCTGTAAAGTCATCCTTACTGTCTTTATCTTTTTGAAGCTCTTTAGTATTTGAATCAAAATGATCAAAGTCACTAAATTTTTCCTTGTCTTGATCTTCTACAGGAAACATTTTCCCTACTGAATCAGAAGTACCAAATTCCCCAAAGTCATCATCATCATTAGCATTGTTTTGGGGATCTCTTGTACTTGTATTAAATACACCAAAGTCACCAAAATCATTTTCGACTTGATTATCAGATGGTAAAGTTCTCTCTTCAGAATTTGATATGCGAAAATTTCCAAAGTCATTATCATCTTCTGCCACACCATTGTCATTGGGTGATCTTTTTTGTTTAGAGTCCTCTAGAGCATAATCTGCATCACTTTTAGAGCTTTGATCAAAATTTTCATTAAATGAACCAAAATCTCCAAAGTCATCACCATCATCATCATCAACAACACAATTCTTATCTTGCACAAGAGTGCCTTTTATACATGATGAATCTATGCCTTCTTGACTACCTACAGATTTTGAGATTCCAGATGAATCAAGTTGTTCATTAGATTGCTTCTCATCATCATCATCGTCATCACCTAATGATGGTGGTCTCAAAGAAAAATGAGTGAAGTCAGTAAACTCATCAAATCCATCATCATCTGAATAATTGTTCTCATGTTCTACTTCAGCACCTGAACCATGTTCAACTTTACTGGAATCACTCATGTTTGTCTTCGTAATGTTTATCTCATCAGGTTTTCTGGATAAATTACTGCCAGTCTTTTCATCTTCTTCAATGTTTTCTTGGGTCTTTGATTCAGCTACAGGTGAATTTTTTAGCTGTGCTGAGTCTTCATAATTCAAGATGTGGTTAGAAACTTTCCTCTCCTGTTTAGATGATGGCATCTCTTTATGAACATCATAAGTAGTCTCATTTAACTTATTGTAGAATTCTGGAGTACCATTAGCTCTTGTTTCTCTTAAATGGCTGACTGCTTTTTCATCATCAAAATCATAATTTGATGCAACACCTGATGTTTCACTTTTGTCACTGATTCCATCAGATTTCACTTTGTCCTGCATGCAAGTTCTTCCTTTAATTTCAAGGTCTGTCTGAAGTTCACTACTCTTGCTGTCACTTTCTGATGAGGTCAGTTCAGAGCTCACTGAAGGTAACTCTGTACTTGTAAATTCTCCAAATTCATCATCAGATTCACTGTCAAAAGTACCATTACTTGGCAGACCTTCATTTCTACCTTCATTTTTGTCACAATTGTTTAAGACATCAGCTGCTGAATCACCTTGATTAAAACCGCCATTGGCAATGCTTTCTGGATTCAGACTGTCCCTATTGTCCCCAAATGCTGCAAAATCGGCGAACTCGTCATCAATGGCTGGTTGACCACTTGCTGTTTCCACGCTGTTTCCATTTGTATTACTTGCGAACCAGTCTTGTGATTCTCCGTTATTTTCCTGTTCAAAAGCGGACCCAAAATCGGCAAAACCAGCAAAGTCGCCAAAATCCGAATCCTCTTGTTCTCCTGACCTATTCTTCACGTTTGTTAAGTCGCCATCGCGCTTTGATTTATCACTGATTTTTTCATCACGGGCGTTGCTTCTCTTAACCGAAGCTGCTACATTATCACCATGGTACTCTTTTGATTTATTTGCTTCATTTGGGAAAACGATTTCGTCATCATCTTCGTCGTACGTGTCGTCTAAAGGAGGTGGTGCATCCGCTAACACGGTGGAGAAATTCGATCCATACAATTCCGAGTTGTTCACACCGTAATACCACGCCATTTCTTGCCGTTCCGAGGAAGGAAACAGTTCTAAGTGTCATGGCATTCTCTTCCTATCTGATGAAAACTTAATAAATAAACTACCTCGTGGAAAATCCTCATCAATTTTTATCAGAGAATTCAGAATATTGTTCGCCAATGCAACCCACAGTTCAATCATCGAAGGACATGCAACTGATAACTTGATGAAGTTACTTGGAAGAAGAGAAGCAAATGTAAGCGCACTACAAGCTGAAACGTCCCCTTCTACTCCCTGAGATGAGTTTTCTTGATTGAAAATTTCTCAAAGTAATTTTTCTTGTCGATGAACAGTGTTTAAGCGATGTCACTAATTGTCATAATGTGCATCAACTACTACCGGGTCATCCAGCGCCATTTTGTTGACCCATGATGCCTTGCAACTTCTTGCGTGATGTGTGGCATGGGTATAGTGGGGAGGGAGGACTGGGAGGATAGGTTGAGGTGCTCAGGGGGTCCATGTCAGTGAATTGCCTGAATTTGACCTCACAACAATGCCACTTAGTAATGATCTTCTCTCTACAAAAATAATGCAAATGAGATTGTTTGCGACCTTGTTTCGGAAAACTATTATGAAATAATATGAATTAAACGTTTTTGCCAAACATGTCATGGCTGAATATCTTTTGTTATTAGGATAAATCGACAATTTTAAAATTTCAACAAGGTTATCAAAACAAGTACCCGTGACCAAGTTCCTGTCGTCTCTGGCGATTGGGGTGGCTTTTAGGTCACGTAATGATATATTTCTGCCCACAAGCATCAGTAGCCAACCGATGGTAATTATTTGATTCATACTCTAAAAGAACATTTAAAATCCGCTCTATTAAGGACGAGATCACTCAGCTGACGCTACATTTAACTATATTTACATACAACATCAGCAATAGTTGAATGAGACCTCCTTTCGCACCGACATAATGTGAGATTGATCATGAAAAGCCGATATGGAAAAAACACTGCCTTGTTAAATATACATTTTATTGTATCATTTTTGGTGGGCGTGGCAGGCGGGCGATTGATACCGGCTTCTGGCAAAATTTAGAACAGCAAAGCTATTTTTGATAAGGCAATGAAGTAGGAGAGTAAAGAAGATATTTCTTAAATTTTGAACCCAGAATCATGCAGTACTTTATCATTATCTGGGGTAATATAAAGCATACATGCAAAATAAATAACGAATTCACGAAATAACCTTTTTTCGGGTCTCGTCCTTGATGGCAGCCTTTGTTAACTTTAACTGCTTGAAAAGCATTTCTACAGTTTGTAGGTAGACTGATTGTACTCTTTCATATGGCAATTTAAGCGCTTATATGAGACAGAACTCTTTATTTTATCATTTATTTACATAATTAGTAAGATGTACTTAGACAGGGGCCTAAGTAATGGGCTCATGACTTAGATAAGCTGCTTCAACTCGTGCTACAAACCATAGTTCGTGAAACGTCTCATTTAAGACACCCAGGAACCCGAAAGATTCCGCCATTCACTCTTGTGCGTTTTGGAAATACTTCTTGTAGCCGTTGATCATGCTTGCTCGCAGCCAATTGAAGCCTCGCGGAACAGCCCGGCTAAGCATTCATTCCATATTTGTCTTGGGCAGCCTACCGTTGTAGTTATTGTTTGTTAGGCTGAACACTTTACACGCCGTTTCTGGCCGGTCGTCGTCTGGTGTAACAACGTAAAAGTTTCCACAATTAATTGCCCTCACCCGACCATTTTCGCCCTTGAGTTTTGACGGGTACCAGACATTTTTCTGAATGATAAACCACGATTTTTTTCTCATACCAGTCAACTCGTTCGGTGAGGGTATGAACAATACGAATTCCCGATATGCTAGCTATTCGGCTGGAGGTTATGTGGCCGCCATTGTCAAG